TATATATTATAAATTATATATTATATCCTTTCCATCGCATCGTGTACAAAATGTACAATAATTACAAACAGTAGGTATTCAGAGTATTGTATATTATATACAGTATACAGCATAGCCATAGAGCTGTGTGCGTCGGGATATCATGCGGCACGCCGAGAAAGTCTTAGAGTCAAGACGCGCTGTGTAAGTATACAACTGCAAAGCCACAAAGTAAAAGTGTTATAATTATTTTACTATTATTCGGATTGGCAATCCGGAATTTTTCAAATTTATTTTCCAATTAACAGTAAGAGTTTTAATTGAACGAATTTCACCCTTTTCGTAGACAAATGAGTTACTTAACTCTTTTTATACATAAAATATTACTAAACCATAAACGGGATTTTGTGTGCAATAGAGCGATGTAAACCAAAACTACTTGTCCAATTAATATATATACAGTCCGTCTATAGCAACCAAACACATTATTTTTTAGACAATTTGTTTTTCTATTATTTTAACGCATTTCCATAAACACGTTTGTACGGTTATTTTCAAAGGGTAAGGGTATCGTCTTAATATATAAGGCGCCTACCAACGCGTGTGTGCTAAATGTCACATAATATTATTAGTAAGTCATCAAACATCACATCAGATACACTGAAATTCCGTGGGAAAATATTTTCCATTATGCGGACTCTGATTTAAAACAATGAGGGCGGCCGCTGGTTTTAATCAATCTGGATCTGTCGATCGATGGCGAAATAACGTCGCAGCACTACCAACAACAACAACAACAATAATATTAATAATAATTATATTTTACGAACCGTTAATTTAGATTTTTATCAAAGTCAATTGAAAAACTGTTTCCATTGTGCGCGTTCCGAGTTGTTATACTGTATGGGGGACACAGTGGTATAGTCTATGTTTCATTATGTTTACAATTTGTTGCTTAGGTACACCACGATGAGGTTCGACGGTGATAAAAACGTCCAATATCAAATCCGCCATTGGTTCATCCAAACATAGACATTGGGCGGACAGTACTTCCAATGAACTACTTCAGTTGAGGTACCAAAGCGGTTTGTAATTATTCTTTAAAATATCAACGGTAATTAATTTTATTTGCGTATATTTAAAAATTAATTACATTACAAAATAGCCAACACAGTGAGGTAACCGCTTTAGGAATGATTCAACTAATTTAAAAAAGAAAAACGTTATAGCGCACCGTAGTGTTAAGTCAGACATAATATGTTAATTTTTAAACTATCCGAATTTAAAGGGAAACGGGTGATTTTTTTCAATATACATTTTGGAATATTTGTTTTTTATGCAATCACATATTAGTGTTTTTTTTTAAACGTGACACAACTATGAAATATCATGATTATCGAGTTTATGATGACATCCGTTAAATAAATATCAACATTTCCATTTCAATTTTTAACCACTAAATGACGCCTAATAGCGATTTTGATAACATGACATTTTATTGGTATGTAAAAAAAAAAAAAAAAAAACTTAGAAGAGATTAAATAGTTAAGTTCTGTTAGTATAGTGAAATGTCCAAACAAACGATCAACTAATGAGATAGCTAAAAAGTCTGGAAGATTCTGGAAATGTAGAAATTAATTTATTTGAAAACAAACTTTTATTTTTTTGATTTGTGTCACTTTTCAACTGGTGGCGGTACGATCATGTTTGGTTGCTATTAACGTCAGATTTCGTTGCTTGTTACTTGCAATTCATTACTTGTTTGCGTTTTTAATTTGTAATGAAACACATTCACTGCAGGAGTCAAACGGGATCACGGGTTTTTTACTTTTATTATGACTGTTGTTGTGTAAAATTAAAAACATATTTTTGTTGAGTTAGGTTAAGTGGACCTAACCTAACGTCCGTTATTAATGTGCGGTTTACATGATATTTTCATAGTAAAGTCCCCCGGGTAACTACAATGCTCTTGTGTGTTGTGTTGTCACGAATATAAAATATTTTCATATACCCAGTTGGCAACGGCTAATTGTCGACTTGTCGTGACGTTTATATATTTATCTACTGTAACAACAGTACTCTAGTGGTTATTTTTTTTATACCCATTTTTTTTTTTTTGCACATATCAAACATAATTACTCCTTCAAGATGGCAACAGATGCCAAGATGCACAATGCGTGCCCCGTCGCCGCCGTGTACCTTTCTTCTTTATTTTTATGACTATTACAACCGTGTGCTCGCTCAAGCATTTCCGAATAACGTTAACGCGAGGGGCATCCACTGTTTATTATATATTAAAATAAAAATATTGTAATATTGCGGTATACCTACAATAATAGTGCAGTGGAACTCTATAATATACCTTGCTCGTTATTTTGTGTAAATCGACAAACGGAACAACATAATATATTATAAATATTGACCCTTTTACGGCCGTTATATTATTATTATTATTATTCGTTTCGGACGTTTGGAAAATCATTTTTATCTTTTCTTACACACGGACACATGCCATTAGAAGACGGCGGCGGCGACCTACACAGCTGTGGTGGAACCCGGGTTTTCTTCTTCCATCTTATTATTATTTTTTCCCTTCTTTTTATTACAATACAAACCTAAGCGGCCGGGTACGCACGTGATCTAGTCAATGACACGGCGACGTTCGTGCGGTAAAATTCGAACCTTGTAGGCGCAGACAGACAGACAACCGTCTCTGAAGTAGTAACAATATTGCTGTGGTATATAAATGGCCGCACTCTTCCGGTAATGAATATTCGGTATTTGTCGGTAAATACTGTTTTTTTTTTTATACAAACTCTGTACCTGTACTCTTCTGACGCTGAAGGAATATTATTTTCAGTAACAGCGACTCGAAGTGCATTTCGAAAGACCCCGCGGGCGGTCGCCGTTCTAAAGAAGGGATTATAATAGTAATATTTTTGTTTGTTGAGCAACAATTATTATTGTAATTTATTTTCATGATACACGAGTGCTGCACGAGCACGGTACCTATGATATGATTGTGTTATATTATAGGTACCTTTGACCGCGGAGAAAGTAAGTATAGTTTCTGAGAGGACCGACGACAATAATAATATTGCGTAGCAAATTAAATTACAATACACGTTAATTTGCATAAACATGTGTACGGCATAAATATTATTAACGGATTAATACACATATGTGGTGGTCGTGTACCGTGTCAAATGATTCTCAATAGTAATATATCATCATGTATTTTACAACGCGTAGACGTATATGGGATTAGTTGAGATTGTTGCCTTTGTTGTCGTTGGTCTGGCAGTCGCATTGTAATATATTGACAATATATTTAAGTAGACAAACAATAACGCAACACAAATAAACACCAGAAAATGCAATTAACGCGCGTTGCACCACCCACCTTGAATACTTGTTAAATGATTATCGATTCATATTTCTCAATGTGTAACACTTGGCGAGTAGGTATTACAGTAATAATACAACCGATATGAGTTAGGTACACTCGACCCGTTTTTACATTTAACGCACGTGTGTGTACACCCTAAGCAGTCATACTAGTTAGAACAAATTAATTAGGTTTTTATTTTAACCTGTTTTTATGTATATTTTTAATTGATTATTTCTCGCCGTGTTAAAAAAAAATGAGTTCTCACAGAAACAAGCATCGGTCGCTGCTCGTTATTTTCAACGACAAAAAATACTTGTACTTATCTATTACTCAAATTGTAAAACTACCAACGTTAATCCGAATAGTAAACTCGAACGTGTTAAGCCGTCGCTTCGCTTCGCCTTTATACATAAATATATGTATATATAATAACATGCACGAGTATTGAAGTCTTTCGACGAATAATATTATACTATAATCTCTCGTTAATGGGTGTCAACGAACTACGCTGTAAAAGGATATACATAGGATGGGATTCTAACTGAGAAAATCACACCCACCGCCTCGATTCCTGTTGTCATTATTAACAATAATGGCATACGGGTATTCTACATGTAATATATATATGTATGTATAATTAGTATCATTCGAGTAAAGCCGGCGGCAATTAAGAACGCTTAACGTTTTTGAGTTTGTTCTGTGTTGGCGGATTAAAACTTCTCGAAATCATAATATTCCCTACACATAACACGGCTTAACTCGGTGCCCTTTTCGTCCAAACAATACTTAAGAGTAACCGCGTAGTCTTGACGATTTTATACAGCTTATAATATGTATGTTTACTTGACCACACTGGTAACTTTTAACAGCTGTCACATACTATAGGAATTACCCTGCTATGCTACTGTGAGCATGTGATGGTTTAACATTGGTCGAGTACCCATGATGGTCGTTGCATTTGGTCCCTTTAACGGCAAGGGTCCGGTTCAAGAACCGGGTATCTCCAACTTTTCATCAAACATTTTCAGTAGTCTGTAGTGGTAATAGACTACTACGAATTTTCCCCTGGCCAATAGTGGTAAACGGGGCAATGGGTTTTCTAGCCGTGTTGTGTTCGATAAGGGAGGTTTTTGTCTCGGGTCGTGACCACAAGAGCGTTTAAAAAGAAAAAAAATTATATTTTCTACGGGTTTATAGCGGCATGATGTATTTTTTAATCGCTTTTTCCACCTACTCACACGGCGACAACAGGTTCGAAACAATAGGTCCGAGACAGTAATATGTTACTACTTCCTGCCGTCGACGATAAGTCGGGCCGGCGCCAAAAATAGATACCGATTATCATCACATGCCCCTTGCCGAGTTTGGCGAGGTGAACGCGTCGCATTCCTCCGGGACTGGTCACCGTTTTCGTTTGGGCACCTCTATCGCTTCCCACATAATAGAACGTGTACATATATTATTATACACACAAAATCATAATAACATAGCCCGTATCGGACTACACATATTTGCCGTGCAAACGCCGCCCATTCGCTATTGTTGGTCGCCGGTCGTACAAAGTGACACAAACCCTGCGACACCTCAAGACGACCGTAAGAAAGAAAAAAAAATAACGTTTTCCACTTACCCCTTAACGACGATATTGTGGTGTCGATCCTGGATTCTCGTTGGATTACCACCAGTCCATCATGGTTAGGTTCGTCGGTTCTCAACGGAATTGTCTGAACAACAGTAACTTTTACTTGACCGGAAAAACGTGCATACAAGTCGATCACAACGACACGGCCGTCGAACACGGCATTTTTTTTTCTTATAATTTTACCGGCGTTCAAAAGGCGCGCGTTTGCCCGGCACCATCGACACTGTACGTGGGGAACGTACGGGGAACACCGACGGCGGTTGACGCGGACTGTGCGTGTATGTGTAAGCCGTCCGAGACACCTGTGCACGGGCAGCACAGCCAGCAGGTATAAGAGGGCGACGCGCGGCTGTCAGGTATGCGCCGCCGCCGCCGCCGCCGCCGTGTGGCCGGGGCAAGGCAGCCAACTAAACCGGTCCTTCACCTCTAGGGCGGACGGCGTAGAGGACCGGCAGTGCTCGGTTGGCTACAGTGGCATCGACCTTCCACACGAACGCGTAGAAATTCATACACACGGAGGAGGTTTCGGTCCAGCAGTTCTCGTTCTGCACGGTACACGCGACACGTAACTGTTCGCCGCCGCTGGTGCTGTTGCTGCCATAGGCCCCGCGCACACAGTTACGATGAAACCGTCGAAAATGATCGGCGGCGATTACTCTCTGGAGTTGAACAACATATTCCACACGGGCCAAGTGGAGCCGGCCTCGTGTTTCCAGAGACTTTTCGGGTCCGTCCAGACCGGGCTCATACTCAAAGACATCACGTTCGAAGTCCGATCCGGCGAAGTCATGGCCATCTTGGGATCCAAAGGTAAGTCGGCCAAAGCTAAGCGTGTAGAATATTCTATAACTAATTGTCCTCGGCCGGTGTACCTAAAGCGTTACTTGGATTTTCGATTAGACTCGACAGAGAAAACCGTCATTTAAACCAATTAAACGGACTCCTCCGGGCCGACAAAACTATGTAGTCGGCTACTTTTCACTTTTACAAACGGTTCAAACGATCGACAAAGCCAGCGGGTAACGACATCCGTAAAAGGAAATTCTATTTTCTACTCGATTCTCATTCCGTCGACTTTTATTCATGATAATTAGGCCACTTAAAAAGCATCGTTTATTGTCCATAGATCTGAGCTAATCGATTAGGGCGTAAAAAGGTTTGCATTCAGCTGACACAAGTGTTTAACTTTTTGTAGGCAGTGGTAAAAGGGCGCTTTTGGAAGTGATAGCCAGACGAAGCAAAGGTGTGTCTCGAGGACAAATACTATTGGACGGGCGTCCGCTCACGCAAGCAATGTTCAATCAATGTTGTGCTTATGTCGGGCACCGAGCCGACCTTGTGCCGTCGCTGTCGGTGCAGCAGACTTTACATTATGCAGCCAACCTGTCCGTCGGTTCGCAAGTCAGCGGCTACGTCAAAGACTCCCGGGTAAGACAGGTGTTGGCGGATTTGGCCCTCAGCCAAGTGGCAAGGCGCAGCGTCGAAGCTCTGACCGAAGGCGAATACAGGAGACTGGTCATAGGATCGCAAATGGTCAAAGACCCAGGTACGATGAGTTTTCCCGTGGTTTTGTTTGTGAAAAATCGGCCATGAACATTTTTTTCCCGTGTTAATAGTTCTACTACTTCTGGACGAACCCACGGCCGGGTTGGATCCTTTGACGACCTACTTGATCGTGTCTATGGTAAGTAGTCACGCGAAACGCAGAGGCCGGGCAGTGGTGCTGACTATGGAGAAGCCCCGTTCCGATGTGTTCCCGTTTCTAGAACGTGTGGCTTACCTGTGTTTGGGCGACTTGGTGTACGCTGGACCCACGAGAATGATGTTGGACTATTTCCGGGCCGTCGGGTTCCCTTGTCCGGAAATGGAAAATCCACTCATGTACTACCGTAAGTCAATCGTTAGTTTATTTGCTTGTTTACACATTACTTTTAAAGTTAACAGGATTAAGACCAGAAGAAGGGTGGAAAGGTGCACTTTACCTCCCGCTTTAAATTTTAACCCTAGTGACTGAGTGTAGCGGAAATGAGAACACTAAGACGGATAAGTGGAGTGACTAGGGAGGATAGAATAAGATATTATAACAAAGGGCGAATCTAGGAGTTGCAACAGTTGCGGGGAAGATTGGGTTTAGATGGTTCAGTCATGTAATAAGAAGAGATGAAACTTAAATGGCAACGTATATATATTGTTAATTTTTTAAAATAAGAATATTTTACTGAAAATGTTTACTGGTTGATAACCAGTTTTGAACCACTATTTTTTTAAAGTTATAGGAGTTTAAAAGTTATCACGGGAGGGAAAGTGCGCTCAGATAAAAATTATACTACACTCCACCTTTCTTCCTACCCTAAACTTGAAACTTCAAAGACTTATAGCTATCCAAAACTGGTTATCGACCAGTAAAAATCTTTAGTACATTATTCTCAAGTGAAAAATATAACGAAATGTATGCATTACCGTTAAAGTTTCTAAAGTTGATAGCGCTCTGGAAAATATAAAAAATATGAATATTTGATAACATAATAACATAAAGAAAAATGTTTTCAAAAAGAAAAACTACTAAATTTAAAAAATATTTTCCGAAAAAACGATAGTCTTACGTTATATAACCGCCGGTTATAATCACGATCACCTGGTATACTTAACGTTTTGCTGAAACTCTTTCTTCATAAATAATAATGACGTATAACAATAATACATGACAAATAATAATTGAGACTTGGTATCAAATTCACCTTGGATAATTGAACAAATGAGTTTTTTCACTGACTAATGTAGTGGCTAGACAATTTGTATACTTAGGTATGAATAATTTAACCACATGTCGTGAATAGCTCAAAACTAATTACCTAATTATGGTAAAATCTTTTTCGATAAAACTATAAAGAAAATCAAGTTTATTTAAATGTAATACGTATCAATTAAATTAACTGAAACCTCGGCCACGGTATGCAATATATGTCATTCGATGAAGCGTTCGAGGAAATAAAAAAATAGAAGAAGATTTTTTGAGAAAGCAAAAATAATTTGATTTCAAAGAAAGGTTTTCAAAAAAAAAAGACAATATAACACATTGATTTGATGTGCAAACAATATACGAGTAATATAAAGTACAGGTTTTGTTAAATAGGTTACAATGACCGACCGATATAGAGTGGCTGTTATTATGGCGGATACTTTAATAGTAGACCGTAAATAATAATTTATTTAGAAAAATCTTAAAGAACACATACCACGTGTGCGGGGGGGGGGCATCTCATGTGCTGGCATAGTTCTCTATTGTTTCATTCATGACTTCACATAGTGCAATACATTATGGTAACCGCAATACGCATACTCAAACCCCATTAAGGTCACGTGCTTCCGCATAATATATATAATAAGGCGAAACGTATGCATTTAAAATTTTAATGTAGTACCGCCCAATTTGTTCCAAATGCGAATAAAACGTCTTCGTTCATCTTTTTTTAATATTTGCAAGAGCTCTATCAACACAAAATGGCAACAACAAAAATGTAAATATTGTTTCATATAAAAATATAGCATAAGCACAAATGTTTTCAAAAATAAACACTTCAAAATTGCAATTATTTTTAAGATTAAACTAGTGTAGGGCGTTAATAGAATCAGCCGATATTATTATTTATAAATAAATAACCAGATTAATTTAAACCACTAGTCTTATACCATGTCGTACAGACGGGATTTGCATTAATTTGAACCGCAAAAATGGTTTAACGTCAAACGAGCTCACTGGTAAGAAATTGCAAGTTTTAATTTTATCGGTCTCGTATATTAATGCAATATACACCTAAGACATTATTTTTAAAATTGTTAAAAAAAAAATTTTTATACTAGTTTATTTTTTTTTTTAAATCTATTAATTACTATTTTCTAAACTCATAAACTTTTCACTATTTAAATTCTAGGACAACAAATATACTTTAATCATAAATTAATATTTTTAAAAATAAACGTTATATTGTATTATTTCCAAAATGTTGATACTGTTATCAGTTAGACCACATATTTGAGAGGATGCCAGCGATTGCTTTTTTTTTAATGTTTGGAGTGGAGTAAATGCTAGGTAATAATACTTGCTATTAGATTCACTGCTAGGCACTGGGCGAAGTCCATCCAAGCAAGCGACTCTGATTTTTCTTAATCTCGTTGTATTATTTGGACCGTTATCAACCTTTTGGAATCTCTAGCTTACACAAATCCATATCCTATGAAATAAATATATATATATTTTGTATACAGTGTGCTTGTCTACGGTGGACCGGAGGTCGAGGGAAAGATTTGTCGAATCCAACGCTCAGATCGTGGCGTTAGTGGAGAAATTCAAGATGGAAGGGGCGCCGTACAGGAAGTCTTCGGCTATGTCGGTGCTCTTAGGGTCACCCCCGTCTGACCTTCAGTCCAATTCTCATCCGTACCCATATTCGGCTCAAGACTCTTCGACCGCACAAATCGGCATGACGCTTTACCAGTAAGTACACAAAACGAACAAAAATCCAAAAAAAAAAAAAAAAAACACTCCCGTTTACCTATTCGGTTGATAAACGCTATAAAATCCACAAATTACTAAAAAAAAAATGGTTTTTTTCGCTATATAACACTATTAACGTGGAATAATACAGTACTGTTATTCCAATGGGACTCCTCTCTCTCTCTCTCATCAAACCGTAACAATGACCTTTTTAACGAAAAATAATAATAATTGTTATTATTGTTGTTGGTACACTCGTGTATCTTTGTGGAGAATAAAGCCTTCGTTTTTTTTTTTTGGTCACACAAAAAACCATTGGCCAACATCGCAGTACATTAACGTCTCCAGACGAGACGCTCAAATGGCAAGCAATAATAATTATACGCTTTGTTATATTTTTTCCTCGAATCGCATTCGATGGGAATAGTATCGTTGATATTTTTTTTATCCTGAGGAGCCTGTTGGATTTTGCTGTGGGAACGCGCATTAGCCATTATGATTATCCCCTCGATTTATTAGCAATAAAGCTGTTGTTAACGTTTGCAAAAAAAAAAAAGATCAAAAACCACTGACTTTAAAGCCTACGGAAAATGATGTCATCATCCGGTTGGCAGTTTTGCCGCAATGAAGTTTAATACAGGTATTAGGTTTAGTCATCAATGAAAAAAAAATACCAATTTAAAGGTCAACGAATGTCCCACACATGCGCCTCTAAGAAATTTTATCTTTACAACTTACACGTGTTAATTGCTTTAACTTAAATATCATTTTGACAATCGGTGCAAATATATGGATTTAAATTAGATATCATTATTACGCCTTCCCACGTGTCCCACGAAGAGATTGCCTATGACCGACTCTGTTATTGTAAATATTGTGAAATCAGTCGTTGGCAATTACTTGTTTTTGATGTTGACTTACAAATATTCCACAAAATCAATTCCACTTTGGATTGTCATTTTTTGCGAACCAATCCAGATAAACTGGTTTAATGTAGTACAGTTTTTGATTTAGAACTAATAGTGTTGGTAAATGTCAGTAGAGCAGTAGTTTGGTAGAGCATATTAAAAAAAACTGATTTTTAGGATAATTTTTTGTCCACAAAAACTACATTTTATTTCCAGTCACACGTTGTCGATAAGTCTTACGAATCGTGAAAGTGCTCGGTTATGGCAAAAGAATTGTCAACGAAATCAAACTGACTTGGTATTGAAGGTGTAAGCGCTGAAATTACTCTAAAAATAATAATCGCCCTTTGCATGATCACACCAATGTGCCACGACAGAAGAGTTGAGGGCTGAGGCTAAGTTGACGTCCTTGAATTACATGCAATAATTGAAGTGTCAATTAATGCACCTCTTTCTGTAGTAAACATCAACAAATCATTTGATTTCTTATTGTCACGGTATTACGAAATAGTTGGACGTTTTCCTTTTACAACACGTGTCGATTGCGTCAAATTATAGCTATAATGATACTTCTTGGCAATCGGTAAAATGTCACACGCTTTCCTGAACTACGGGCTTTCGTGTGTGTTACTAGAACGCTGAATAAATTACTTCAAATACATAGTAAGTTTTTTATTTGGCAAGTGTCGTGTAATGGCATGCTATATAGGCAAATTAATAGTGAAATTCCCATAGTGGCCAGTCAATAACATGATGGATCGTGTGAGGTCGAGTTTTTCTCACCGTGACCAACGCCTTCGGGTATTTTGTAGAAATCTCAAATGAGAAACGGTTAAACCATTAAAAATCAATATGTTCGAACTGGGCTCGAATAAAACCATATTAGTACAATCATTGTTGATACTGTCTTAAACAAAAACATACCAACTCCTCCTGGATTTCGCAGCAGAATGCTTATTATTCCATCTACAAATAGGGTCGACCAGACAAATCTCTCAACGCAAATCCCTATTTCTACACTCACTCTACATATCTTTATTTACCACAATCACCCATACATAGTTGGTCACTTGTTTTGCTATAGTTTTCCTCCCTTATTTCTTTCCAAAGTCATCTTAATAAGTTTTCTTTCATTTTCCCTCCGACACCCAAGCTTCCTCTTCGATGCTTATTTCTAATTCTGTCCGACCAGGGCACAACAATTCCCATTTTTCACCACATCTTTAATCTCACCAGTCTAATACCAAATTTCTCTACTCTATTTACCACGTCTTGCTGTGCAGGTTATAAGCAGCATAGCAGGTTTCCGGCCGCTTTTTTAAAACCTTCTGGTATGTTTTTAATATACCAACAACAAAGTGACGGCGCTGTAAGAGGTGTTGATAATTGTTATGTGTACTGACCCGCTTTCGTTAATAATAATTTGTCACGAACTTACAATATTGGTACATTAAGTTGATTGTAGGATATTTCACGATAAAAACGTGCGCAATGGGCATTTGCTCTGAATTATCGAACCCGGCATCATACCATTATCATTATTACTATTGGACTGAGGGGAAACGTGTTGTCGTGCTATCGATGTTGATCGCACTTGGGGTTTGGAGTGCGGGTTTAATGAATTATGACTATAATTATTACAACGCATTTTGTCCCACAGGCGTCAGTTTGCATCCACTTTCGGGTGCTCTTGGAAAGCTCTGTTCTACTTGTCCGCCCGTCTTGTGGCTTTGCCCGTGGCTTTTTTGCTCGTGTGGATGTTTTACAGGAACGTTAAAGTAAGTCAGCCACCGCACTTTGTCGTGTATTCGATAGTTATAACATCAGCTAAGCGATAATACATTGGCGTTGTTTTCGCAGGACTATCAGACGGCGTTCATGTCCAGAACCGGATTGCTGCTGACGTGCATGACCACCACATACTTGACTTCAGTGTTCACGACGGCCTACACGTGTAAGTATAACACAGAGTGCCATTTGGGAGACGCTATAGAGTATTATTTTCGGTAACATTTTTCGCAAAGAAGTTCCAAGCTATAAAAAGTAAAAAACTACTGTAACTTGTTCGTACCATTATTGTAACAACCTATGTACGGTAACTATTCATTTTTAATATTGTTCACAATTCACATACGCTTAAACTTCTTAATGAGCCTCTACACCTGTGTATTTTTGGTAGAAAACAACTCATTCTACTTCAAACGTACTACTCCTAAGAATACTCGGATTTAAGTTTTGAAAAAATATTTGAATTCTTCGTAACATTTTCAAAGCATCGACCGTGGCATAATTTTAAAATTATTTTTTATTTTAACTAATTGTTTCAGTTTAAAAAAAGTTAAAAATGTCAGTTTTTTACATTGAAATAATTAATTAACTAAATAAAACTTTAAAATTGTGCCACGATCGATGCAAAATTAAGTATCAAAAGATATCCTTCTTGCCTATGGTAATATATATATGTTTAAACATTTAAGCTTAATGTTGAGTTTACTAAAAAATGTCCTATACAATATACCTTAATAAATGCTAATGTAGAAGCCCCTTAAGTTTTCTAGAAACTTGCATCTCCAAAGAAATGATCCGGTACTAAAGTATTATGTGACCGCATTGTGGAAGTTTTTAAATAAATATTAAATACTAACAAATATAGACTACATCATTTTTATAAATACATTCGCGTTTCGCTGAGAATTGTCTTTACTTTACTCCTTAATAAATAGTTAGATTGACGCTGCTCCGTCTTAAAACGATTATAATAATATCATGTTATATCACTACTATATAATATACAAAAAGCCATTTAACGGTCGACGATTGCGATAATTGTCATATTACTTATATTATGAACGGCAGAAAAGTAAAAACCAGGGTTCACGTTTCAGTTGCTCCGCACAGGACCAGATACTATCAGGAAAACCAAGACGGTTCGTACAGCGGCCCGTTGTTCCTCGTTAGCTATTTCACTTTCTCCCTGCCGATGGCTTTCCTCACGGTTACCGGATCGTCGGCCATCCTCTATCAGTGAGTTTATAATGTATTATAAAAAAAACCGCAATTTTTAATATAACAAAATATTACCGCTGTTGTCTATTGCCTCTCGTTTTGCCAGACTCATGAAGTTCAACAACTGGACCGAACTGAGCCTGTTCGCCGCGGTGCTGCTGAGCTGCTATTTGTTTGCCGAACAACTGGTCATAGCCGTCATGGCGGTATCTAAAAACGCGTACAACACTTGCATATTCGCCATATACTTCCTGGCCGTGATGGTGGTGCTGGGAAGTGGCATGCTCAGGTAACGACCGCAAAAACATCATACTTGAATGGTATTAAAATTTAATTTTTTTTGTCAAATACCGCCTACATTTTGTCCTTTAATCACTTTTTTCCGACATAAAAACGACGTCTTGAAAGATGTGATGGAAACTTGAGTAGTCTTAGCGCATACTTATCGATTACAACATTTCATCAATTAACACACTTATGGTTTGAATTGCTTCATTTTTTACACCACTCACTCGATTTAAAAAATGTCATTCGTTTGTTTCGGTAAGCTCTAGCTTTAGTTTATAGAGATGTGCGCTGGATGTATAATTCATCAATGAGTTAAATGTAAACGTTATATTAACATAAAATAGTAGATAACATATTATTAACTATTTGAATTGTATTATCGTATTAATAATCTAATTAATCAAGCATTCATAAAATAACTCCGAATTCTGACGGGCGACCGATTAATATACCTATAATAATTATCTATATGCAATGTAAGCTGTATCTAAAAAAAAATGTTGACCTAGGTCAACAACCGTTAATTTAACAGTTGCTTTACAATTTTAAATAGTACAGTTATAAAAAAATAATAATTTTTTTTTAGTTTAAAATATTTAAACCAACATGGAAAATGCTGTCCAAAACAATATGCTTACACCGATGGGTCATCGGTGTTTGACCGTTTTTCCCGCCATAGATAACAACGTCCGTGATAAGAGATAGGATTGATAACAATTACTAACGATTTTTTAGCCGGTTGGCAGCAGGACTAATTAAGTCTAGCGTGGAAGTACCAATACATTTTAAGTTTAAAGTAGTACAAATTTTTGTATAGAAACCTTAGATTATATTACAATATGTAAATGATCTTAGAGAAAGTTTTATACTTTACGGATAACTTAATTATTTGTTAAATTATTATTTATGAATTAATTATTTGCAGGTCGTACCGTGGCATGTCCGAATGGCTGTCGTGGGTCACATACGCCACACAGACAAGGTACGTGGGCGCCTACTTGACGTCTCAGGCGTTCAACGGTCGCCGACAGTACCTGGGATTGCCGCAGAGCACCGGACAAAATTGTACCATACCGGCGGCCGAAACGTTTGTCTGCCGATACCCCGACGGAGACTCGTACGTCAATGAAAGGTATCCAGCTGCCGTGGCCGACGCACAAATCAATCTCGTTGCCAGCTTCGTGTTTCCCCTCACCGCCATGGTTTTCAACGTTTTGCTGTACGTCTCTCCATTGCCGTCGTTTGTCAAAGCCAAATTCAGAGAGTAGTCGACTTGCGACAGCTGAATACTTGCAAACAATTAGAAATCCTATGAAATGTAAAGACATTTCGCATTTTACAGACTACGGTCGGTATGGTGACACGAGGAACCGATCGCATCGGATGTCGGCCGAGTGTTCCATGCCGACTACAATCTTCAATTTACAACAGACACCCTTACGGTGGTTTTTCTTGTTGGTTCAAATAAAACATGATCTCACAAAATAATTTTCAGTGTTTCGGTTTAGATAACACCTACAATATTTCGAAGTAAGTTGTCTATTCAAAAGTTGACGGTCCGGCAGACGTCTTTATTTTGTTACTTGTAAATTAAGTATCATTATTTTAGTGTAATTATTTCCATTGAGTTCTTGTACATAATAATATAACAACATTAAATCTTCTAGCTAATGTAAAACCTTATATAGATAATTAAAAACTAGATAATATTTAAACAAACAATACTGTGTTTTGAATTAAATGTTTTATTTTTTTATTAATTTTTTTTCCAAATATATAGATATATATTAGTTTTTTTTTTTAATGTATACAAAACAATACATTTTTTTTTATACCTCCTAATTCTCAATTTTTTATCTCTCTTTATTCCTGCAATCGTTGGTTAGATGAATCATAGATCGTTTGTTTACGATGTCTAGTAGGCGGAGGTTTCCAATCGACTGCGACTTCGGACGATCTTCTTCTATGTTCCATTTCAGCCTCCATAATTACTTCGAGTTCACTATCGCCTCCATGCGACTTGTCCGCCTCTTCATTGCCAACACAATCTGTACTCGACGTGTCGAGTGGACTCTGTCGAGCAATTATTGTCGCCGGTTCTTCGTACAACTAAAATACAAACACGATCACGGTTAGCAATAGCCAATATGTACAACATAATATGAAGTTAAACTTTGTACACGCTTACCTCCTTGAACGGAGCATCCAAGAAGAGTTCATGCATATATCGCCTAGCTTGGATGTGATAATGGTGTTCGGCCAATAAATTGCAAACATCAGAGTAGACACATATATCATGGAATAAGTCGCTGTACATTTGTTTCATTCTAATGGAAGAGGAAAATTATAATAAAATTAAAACTTAAGTCGAAATTTCGTGACGTCCAACGTGACTTACTGTAACAGACTTTGGGTGGACGTTTTATACAAAACAGGATTGGGTAACTGTTCGACCAGTTTTAGAATGTCACGTCTTAAAGCCGAATGGCTTTTTGTTATCCTGTCCGCCAAAGTAGACCTCTGAGCTAGACCTATGAGAAATAAAATTAACATTTATTAATTTATTTTAAAAAAAATTTTGCCTGAAGCTTTTGTGTTACACTTACTACTGATATCGGAGCTCGCTCCGCTTTCGTTACTGCCCGTACCGAACCCCGAAGCTTCGTGCAGACACGATGACTTATTATGTTGCCAAGGCAGAAGTATAGGGCTCTCACCTTCCACACCAATGCCATAACTGCTTTCAGTCTCTTTAAACCCAACCACAAATTAGAAAATTAACAATTATTACAAAATAAAATAAAATTAGTTTTACCTGTTCGACATCGTCTCAAAGAACTGGACGACACCTTTCGATTTCTCGTAGTAGGCCGATTAGCGTGTTCATTAACCGAACACAGCATACACAACGCACGATTATGGCTACGTTGCCTTCGAACGGGTAACGGGTCAGCTGCTACTTCTTCGGTATCTGAATCGTCGGTACTGAGTGCTTCTGAACCTGCAAAAAAGAAAAATACAGAAAATTTCATGTTGTTCAACCAAAATGTAGATTTTTATTTACCTGTAGACAAGTGTTTGAAGCAGGACGAAGAGTCTTCGTAGTCCGGCGTAGGAACGGGTTCCGGTTCTTTGTCTACATTAAAAAAAAGCGTACTTAGATCTGACGGCAATGCGACCCCACCATAAAAGGACTCGTTAAACTGATCTAAAAAAAAGATAGAATCAAAGTTAGACACCGTCATTTAGTGTAACGTTCAGCTTGATAATATTTTACCTTTAGCCGAATGATGACATATTTTGCTCGAAGAACAAGAAGAGACCGATTCAAACTCGTACCTTAAACAAACGTCAGGTTAAGCATTCATTATACCACAATTTATCTTAATCTAAAAATTAAGAAAAATTAAATATACACTTACGGCGAATGGTTTGCGCTAAACGAGTGCCTGAATTCTCTAGGTCGTACTAACGGAGACATCCGATCCATTTCGTGTTCGGCAAGCATGTCAAACATATCGGCAGCAGACGACTGTGGCTGCATGGTCATACTTCGTGAAGTTTTTCTGCCCATTCCTCTTTGTAGCATCTTCAGTGTCCTATAACCAAAAGAATTCCTTCTCGGCAATTTGGCACCTAAATATTATAGTATACCCCGCATCGATAATTAGCTAATTTTAATTCATAAATTAACTAAGATAAAAAAAAAGCTACCCTCTGAATCCGGAGAAAACTTAGGCGGTCCCAATGGAAGTGTCGACAACGAACTCGAACTGGGTATAGGACTTAACTTTTGATGTCGATCACTATAAAAGAATATTTTTAAAACACACCGATTCATCTGATCGACAAACTTAGTAAGTATTACTTACTGGTAAAAGCTGAAGTCTGTGTGTCGGGTACCGAATCCAGACTCGCCAGAACTGACACCGCTAGTACTACTGTCAACTGTACAGCTACTATCCGATCTCAACCGATAACTAGAGTAGCTGATTGGTTTTAAACAACAATTATGCATTTCTGTTTTTTTTTTCCAAGTAAAACATACTGTAAATTTAGTACTTACATCAAATGATCTGGTGGCGATGTTGATTGTTCGGGATGAGCGCCATCGTTGTTATCTGTCGTTTTGGCTTCGCTCAAACTCCTTAAATGGTGCTGATATCTGGACCAGGACGTGCTGCTTGCCGGTAAGGTAGACCACTTCTTTCTACTGTGTACACCGGGATCCCACATGTCGTCCACCCATTCGCTTACGATTCCCTGTAAGACAACATGATACATATTGGAACGTACAAACGTGTTGCACATCACCATCGAGTAAAGTAATTGTACGTACGTGTGAACTTTCAGAAGGCGTGGTCCCTGCTAGATTAGTATCGCCTCCACGTTTGTCTTTGACTTTATAAAAATCTTCTTCCAAGAAGACTCTGCTCAAGACATTCCAGCCGTACGCTCGTAGATGCTTGGCTCCGGATCGGTTGGCGCTAATCAACGACAGCGCGTACAGAGCGGTCGCTCTTACCGAATAAATCGAATGGTAAGTGGCTATTTTACACATGACTTCCAGGACACCGTTGCTCGCCAAATAACAAGCCCCTTGAACAACGCTACCGAAATGGCCGACGGCCCATATCGCCGCCTTTAAATGCAACTGGTCAATGGGATTGTCCTGAGCGGTGCCGAGAACTATTTGAATTATGTTCCGAAAATAAACGTCTCTGGTCAAGGTTTGAAATCCGCCGTCGTGCATTGCCATTTGCGAATAGAGATGCGGCGGTTGCCGTATGCAAGGTATTTGATTTCTCGACATGTCACTGGAGAGTCTTGTCTTGTAGTGGCCGTCCTCGTGACGTTGATGAAGGGTTAGTTGATCATGTAGTTCGCCTTCTATTATCAACACATACCTGTAAAAACAGTATAATAGCCGTTAATCAACAAATTAAAACAAATTCACTAACTTCTAAGTAATATACCTCAAGTTAAAATGAGTACCCCAATTATGCAGCTGATTCATGACGAAACTGGAATCTGACAGATATTTATAGCCGGCCGGATCGGACAAAAAACGTACTAGTATCAGTAGACCCTGATCGCTATTATGGAGAACATTGGGTCTTAATCCGATTAAAATCTTCAAGTAGTCCTACGACAATACAATTTATTTAATATAATGTCACGCTGTCAAGTTATTTCACTGTACTGTTTTCAAATACTTTATAATCACAAGCTTCGTCGACAGCTTCCAGAGCTGCCATAGAAACGACTGGGTTGTCGTCGCTAATTTGAGATATGAGCAATTCGAGAATCCACAAGCCAGTTACCATGGGATCCTCGGCACGAAGAGCGTTAAATCGCAGTAAGGTCCGTAGGAAACGCGTGGCGTACAATCTGGATTTTTGTTGAGAACAGGAAAGTACACGGCCCAACAATACTCTAAAAAATAAAAATAATTTCAAATAATCCATTACAATGTATATTAAGGGTTCAATTACCATAATAATGTGATAATAATTCATTATTATAATTAATAAATTAACGATATTGATCAATGATTCAAAATGGTATCGATATTTAATGAACGATGCTAAACCGCATTACGTTCGATGAAAACTCATACATACCTAGGAAACGAGTCTTTTGTATAATCCAAGCAAGAGACGATGAGCTTGACATAGCAGCACAAATGAGTATTTACTGCAATATTCAATAACCTGTGGATAACACGATTCCGTTAAAAATGTTTTTTAGTTCGGAATCGGCGATTGTAAAAGTTATCAACAGAAAAACACATCTGACATTATAATATATAATATAAAATTGTAAGTATATCAAAAATAATTTCACAAAGTACAGTAAAGTTTGCAATAGTAAAATTTGTGACTGTTTCGACAGTAAATTAGAAACTGTATACTTACATTGGAAATATTTTTGTCTTATCCAAACAATATCGCCCTCGCTCAGAAGAACTTACTCGTCCGAGCATTAAGAAGTAATGTTGACTTAAAGTAATGGCTAAGCGCTGTGGGTTCAAGTAACAGCTGTATGAATAGTTGGAGGTCGATAACGCTTCTAGTTGTTGATAAATATCAGTCAATAAGCTGTTCAGAAAAGTCTCTCCGCTTTCCTAAAATCAAAAACGTAAACCAAAAATCAATCAAATTCCGAAAACGACAAAAAACTTATTTTTGTTTATAATAAACTTGGATAAGCCTCTAATATGACATATTCAGAGAATGACTGGGCCAACAGGTCTGAGTAGCCGTAATGGTTGTTTTCTCTTGTGGGAAAGAGTATAATGATTGTAAATCTAAACACTTACGTGTGGAGCATCCAACAGGTCGTCGATCAAGTCGAACGAAGCTAATGTAAATAAATTTAATGGCAGAACCTCGGGACGAAGTTCTACGTCGCCGTACATCTTTGACGACGGTTTAAAATACTCGATCAGTCTTTGAATAAATAAATTGTAACACATATCGTCCAGTTTGTTCACGTCTTTGATTCTAGTCTGAATTAAAAAATAAATTTGAATAAATAGTCAGTCATTTCTGTTTCAGAACCGGCAAAAGTTTACCTTGAGAGCGGAACGTATGGGATCCCATTTCCACGCCACCGCTTCCTTGACGATTAACACTCCGGACTCTTTAACAAAGTCTTCACACTCTTTGGTTAATATACACTGTGTTGCTTTGTATTTAGATTGTTTTTTATGAGAAACAAATCGCAACATACTGATTTTCGGACCGAACAAACTTTTCGCGTGATACATGCCGATGGTGGCCGGAGAAGCCTCTTGGGTGAGGATTTTATACAATTTCGCCAATGTAGATATGGCGGACATTGCGTTATTTTTTTTACCATCGTCGCCCACCATTATTTCAGACTTTTCTGGTTGAACGTTGTTTATAGGACTGAAGATCAAACGATCTTCCGAGGAACACAACACTTGATCGTATGCTTCCGTTAATACATTGTCGTTCACATGTTTTAACGGTGGTCTTCCTTCTAAAGCGTAAGCTATTAGATCAGAGAGAACTGGTTTTCTATTATTTGGAACTATAATATCGGCCAAATGTAGGAACTCCCCTGAAAAAAAAATGTAACAATTAATTCAATTCTAAAATGTTATATAATCAAAAACGCTGACGTTTATACCGAGAAGAATAGTCGATTGCATGGACAGCATGTTATCAGAAGTAAGAATCACTTGGACAAGAGCTTCATCCAGTTTGAGTTCTAACAAGCAACTCACCAAAAGTGAACGAGGTAAATTGACTAAGTTCAACCTAAACATTTTGTATTACTTAATACTGCGAATGCTCAATACAAGTTCAAATATATACCTTTTGCTGCTTAAACTCGGTAAAAGATCCATTGCTTCGGAATAAACATATCCACTATTCAAACTAAACTTCTCTCGGTATTTATACGGATTGACGGATTCCAGAGCTGTGTCCACATCGTCAGCCCATTCGGCAGGACAGAATCCGAGAACTTCACGCAAGAGATTAATAATAGAAATCTATAATTTGAACATTGTGTTAAGAATGTTTTTTAAAGGGAAAAAAAACTATTGCATTGTGTGAAAGTTATAGACTAACTCTGGTAGTGGGATTTTGTACGTGTAATGCACGTATGATGGAAGATAAACCACTTTTTGAATTGTCGTTCGATGGGTCACAAAAATATAACACCCCAATCCAAGAACGCAACAACGACACTAAAGTGCCGTGAGCTGTTTCACCGGTTGAGCTTTTTTCGCCAGACCTTCAACAAAAATGAAATAAAATGTAAAAATTAATTAATTTAGCGGGCGGGTTATTAATTTCTAACAACGGTTTACTTTGAAATAGGATTGAAATCGGTGAAAAAGGAAGCTAGTTGACTGAAATCGAAAGACACTAATTTCCTGGTGTCCGGGTTATTTAACATCCAAAGTAATGTGCCCAAAACACATTCGGACATTCGCAACGGTAGTTCCGAAGTAATAAGGACGTGGCGTAATGCTTTCAAACCACATCCGGCCACAAAAGCTTGAGGATTCAACAAACCTAATTGAAACGACAAAATTGAGAATCAATTGTATTGCACAGTTGATATTATATTTGATTGTATACTCACATAACTCGCATAGCGTCGCGACACACGCTCTATGCAATTGGTCTTTGGATGGACCGTGTGAACACATCGCAATAGCTGATAACGAATGAGTAAACGCTTTTGGAAACTGTTGAGGGCAGACTGTACACGATTTACGAATGATTCGCAATGCTTGCAAGCGCTCGTTTTCGTTATCGAGTAACAGCTCTAAGCTCCTGTCAAAATACAACATACAAATATCAGTTCCGTCTCGTAGATCGTATGATGTTCACATATTGTTAGAATTTACATATTTATTTACCAAAGCCAAAATTATTACGTTTGTCATTTTGTTTATAGAATTATATTTTAAAATTCAATAAAGTTAAAATTGAATTAATCAATTCGTTATTGTGATCATTGACATTCACAAATGCCTTTACAACTAAAAAAAAATTTAAACAAAATCTAAAATTGATTTTTTTTTTACAAATTATTTTTAACAGTAAATACCTCAATTTAATTGATTTGAGTTTATTCAGTTTGGTGTTACCAGAAAAAGAAGAGTTAAAAATGTAAGTCAACTCAATTACATACATATAAACATATAATATTAACAATTTAAAATACATTTATTTTTTTTACCTGCATATAAGTATCGTCAAACGTAAGCGTACAAGTGCAGTTACGTTTTCGGGTTTTTTGATACAGTGGCGGATCGCTCTTAATCCGGCAGCTCGAACATCCGAACTATCGCTCAGCAAACTCGGTGTAAGACTAAGGCGAGAAAAAAAAAATAAGTAGGTACTGTACAATAACATATCCATTCAATGTATTCAATTACTAGGTACTTTATGAAAAACCGAACGGGCAACAAAAACTTACCAGCACATGATATCGGACGTGGTGAATCCGAATACTTCGGTGTTGTTTTCACCAGAGTCCACCGAGGACAAGAGTTTGACGAGAGTGTTTAACAGACTCAGCTTTTTAAAGTCAGTAAGCCCATGAGTTTGGATCAGACTAGACAGTATTCTCTTCAGCGACTCTCTGGGTTCTGGGAAAAACGTACGTACTTACTAAAACTCGGTCGTACTAGAATAAAAAACAAAACAAGTCACTCACTCGATACAATGTCCAGCGGCAGTGTGTCGTCTTCGCCATCGTGTCGGCCTGCAAGAATCAAACAAGATGTTTTTGGTTAATTGAGAATACGCCGTCGTAAATGCCAACTACGTTGTACTCACCTCTGGACTTGTGCGACTGCAGACGGGTCCAAAGCTTCCACACGGGCATGACCATGGTCGGGCGGAATTCAAAAGTTTCTGGGGGTCAATCATCCGCCGCATTTAGACATATTTATTTATTATCCGTGTCAAGTCGAGAACCGGGTGGATAAAAATGTATGCAATCAACGCTCGGTGAAGGGATTTGTGCGTCGCGTTCAAAATCACAAGCCAGTTGGGGGTGGGGAAAAAAAAGGAAATTGTAAATTCTAGTGTGTATTGCGTTTGAAATTTTTTCAATTTTTTTTCTTCACTATTATATTATTTAAAAACATCCTGGGGACAGGCGGGAGCGGAGCGGCGGCCGTTGTCGCGGTATCACATTCACGGAAAACGGGATTTACCGTGTGGGACTGTGGGAGTCGAAGATACCGCAAGAGAACATTGCTCTGATAATGGTATAGGTTTATATAAATGTCATATTATTATTATTATTATTATCTCTGTGTTTATACGGACGACGAAACGCGGTCCGCACGGCCGCGCTAGCGTATGAAAACAATATTATCGTGTTCCGGCGACGTTCGCGATAACAAAAACGAAACATAGGTATGCCGGCAACTCGTGATAACGGTAAAATGGCTGCCGGCCGTGTGTACTGTACGGTACAACTACGGCGGCCATGTTGATGCGCGCTGATAACACGCCCGGCCGACCGTACCTATTGTCGATATTTCGGTCGTGTCAATAATAATATTATTACACTGTACTACTATCAACGACGGTGATGGTGTTTAAAATGTGAACATTTTTGAAATTTGACTTTCCACTTGTCAGTAAACTTGACTTGCTTAAAATGAATACACAATATTATTAGGTACACGTATAATTTTTTCGAATTGCGTTTTTCCATGTTGAATGTTTTGGATTTGGCTGGACGACACATCATTTGTATGAGATAAGGCCAAGAGTTTTACTTAAGCTAAATACGATTATTTTCTTTTTTAGCTTTTTATCAATCAAAAGCTTCAGCTACACAGACCATTGACCATAAATTACATACTATTGATTTATACAATTAGCTTCTCACTAGTTATTACTAAAAATTAACAGTTTACGACTAAACATTCAAATTTTAACAAAACACCTAACATATTTATAAATCTTTTGTTATTCATTTTAATTACAAGTTGTCCAAAACTTACAAATGTATGTACCTAATAAAATTTCTAAAATAATGATTACAATGTCATTGAATAAAAAAAGGAAGGATAAAAGTAAGTGCCACTTTAACACTTATCTAAAATTTCATTGGTTAAGTACTCACTTTAAAAATGAACTAAGAAAAACTTAATATAATGAAATGTAAAATATATTACAACACATACATAAAACAACTATATATAATTTGACACTTATAAATTTGATTTTCAAAGATAAACAAAGTGCAAGTACTTTTTTTTTTTAATGCCAACAATAATTTTGTTTAAAGAACTATTAATTTAATTATTTTACAAAATTTAATTATAACAAAAAAATGAATAGCATTAAATTAAATCATAGAAATCTATAAACAAAATTTTTAATTATAACAAAAATAAATTATGTAGTTAATTATTTGCTTTTTTTATACAAATTAACTTATTGCACATATTTAAATTATTTCACTGAAATCGATTAAAATATTTAAAATAATAAAACATTTGTTTAACATAATTAGGTCAAATATAATAAATAAAGTATAATTTATTATTATTTATTATATTGGGAATGGCCTCTTGGTATTTCTTGGCAGAATTTGAGAGGTTGCCAAAAACCAGATCGCCAACTTTTAAAAATTTTGTTTTTGATTTGACAACTTCTGGCGTTAACAATCCGACAGGTTGAAATCAATGCTTTTCGTCATTGATTTGACCAATACTTTACAAGGGATTTTGCTTTTTACATTTACTTCTGGTTTTCTTAAGCTCGTAGGTTTGGAAAATGGTGTGTTTTCTTTTCCAGAACTGAAATTACATTTTGGTTTTTCACTGCTTTTAAACATATTTTTAATTTTGAACAGCTTTGAAGTAGGTGTTTTGGGTTCTTCAACTTTCATTTTTTTTTCAACGTTTTTGTATTCTTGAACAGGCTCTATTTTTCTCTTGTTATCTTCAGTCACGTTATCTGATTCAATACTATAAAAAGATTCGGACATACTACTTTTCTTCAGCGAATCCATTATCAATGACATGTCGTCTACTTTTATACCGGCCAACATTTCTGAATCGTGCGATACAACAGATTCCTTTTCCTTAATGTTTATGACTGTTTCTTTATTATCATTTAAGCTGCTGTTCGCTAATTTACTTTCTGACAATGTAGAAGAAGGTTCCATCAATTGTTCGATAATACTGAAATCGACAATATCTGGTTTTGAAACTTGTTGTGATTCGCTTAGCTGAAAATCTGGAAAGGTTAGATTTATACATTTGGGCTGTTTAAAATCAATAGATTCTTGTACAACCTCGTTTTCACCAAATTCAACACTCTGTTCAATCATTGAGCTTGTAAACGATTTCATTTCTTCGCTTTCGGCCAAGGGAGAAAGTTTTAAATTCTCAATTTGTTCTATGGTTTTGTCCAATGTACTTGAAGACGCATCCAACTTGGTATTTTCACTTTTTTTTTTTATTGTCAATTCCAATGTATTCAATTTGTCCGTTAGTACATTGGGGGAACTCACTTCTTCCAATACAATCATTTTACAATCGTTGCTGAAACTCTCTCTGTCGAAAGAATTAATTGTTTCTATTTGAAGATTGTGTGTTTTACATACCTTTATATTGTCTACTTTGTTTTCAAGTCGTATCTCAGACTTTTCCTGGACTTTGGGTATTGGGTTTGGATTGTTTTCATTGAGCACAAAATGACCGAGTGAATGAGTAGATTTTTCTTTTACTATTGAGGAATATTCTACAACGTTAATGTCTTCCAAAGAACAATTTTCCATTAACACTGTTAAATCCGTACTTAAAATATTATTTATCGGAGATACATTTAGTACCGACATACTTTCTACTATTTCTTTGACTAAATCTGGAACACTTTGTTGCCAATTGGGTTCATTAACTAGACTATACCACATACTACCCGCGGAATGATTGTCTTCGTTTAATGATATTTCCATAACATTGCTGCTATTTAACGCTTGACCACTTTTAGTCGAATTGGAATCGTCAAAACATTCTTCGTTGACCGTTTGGGACGTCATCACGCTTTCGTTTGTGGTTCGCTGGTGATTTCCGATATTGGGTGAATCCTCGACGTTGGAACATTTCATGAGTTCTGGTTTACTCCATTTTCTTTTGTTGTACGTTTCATCCGTAAGCATAGAAATAACACTTATGTCTGTTTCAGAGAAATTCAAATCCTTTTCTGACGACCAGTAACTGATATTGTCAATTAAATTTGTGGATATGTTAGTTTTAACATCTTTGGGCAAGAAAAAATTGTCGATTTTCAAGCTCTGTTCACTCGATACAGATAACCTGGCATGGAGACAGCATTTGTCACCTTAAAACATCAACCGGTCATTAAACAAAGTATTTTTTAATTTCAACTCTTAATATTTTTTTATTTAATAAAAGGTATTCAATTAATTATAAGTAATATATTTTTATTTACAATAACAGCTCAGTTGAAACCAAAAATTAAAAAAATGGTAAATTTAAATAAAATATTATGTGTAATTATAATTACATATTAAATATATATTTTAAAACAGTTGCTTAAAAATAAAAATATAATAATGTATTTTAATTCTAATTTTTTTCGAAACAGCAAATGAAAGTTAATTTTAATTAAAAAAATTATTTGATACGCTAAAGAAAAATTTATTTCAGATAACTATCATTATTTCCTAATAATTATTTGTTATTTAACTAAAAAATGTTCAGGTTTTAGCAAACCTGAATTTAGCACCAGATTTAAAATTATTGTTATTATAATAACGTCTAACTGGAAGCTTAATTTGATAACTATTTTTATTGACATAATAAACACGGCATTTGATACTAACTTGATTTTATTCAACCTATTTTAATTTTACCCAACTTAAAATTGTTTTATATCAAGCACACATATATTTATAGATTAACATATAGTTAAATTTTACAAAATAAAATTACCTAAAAATGTAAATGCTTTGAAGTGTTTAGCCCAAAATTCAGTATCCAGGACTTCCTGTGAAACTGGAATATCGCCTGTGGTACTCGGAGATAAAAATTCATCTGCAAGTAATAATTATATAAGTAACGTTATAGTATATATATATATATATTTATATACATATATTATTTTAATTCCTTTTTGGAAAACATCTTCCAACATTACAAAAATATCATTTATTTGTTTTTGGAATCGATTGAGAACAATTTTCATTGCCTAAAATATAAGGACATTTTGAGTTATCAGCTAACAATTTGGTTTTTAATCAAATACTCACTTATAAAAGTTTGTTTAGAAATTGTTGTTTTTTTGGCGTTTATTTTGTCTTCATCAAAGGAATCGTCTTGAAAATATGATTGTCTAAAATAGATTAAAACTTTTTTAGACAGTTTAATTTTTATAAATATATACATATAAAAAAGAACCATTCTATGAGTCGCAAGAGGGACGACTATCAACCGTTGAAGTCGGCACACCCATTTGTAAATATGTATAATATCATTAAATAAGTTTGCAGAAAAAATTGATTACAAAATCAAAATTTAATGAGAAAATCTATTTAAAAAAAACAAAACAAGTTAGACAGAAAGAAATTAGGTACTCGTTGAAAGAGGAACGTTGAATAGTAGGAAAGTGTGATAAAATGTTTGACTAGGTACCCATTTAAAAAATAACCAAACTTAATATACTTAAATATAAAATATATTTCAACACACATACATGGAAAATCATTTGAACACTATATAATATAATATATCTAAATTAATAATTTGATTTTTAAAAATTAAACAAGATAAAAGACAATTATTTTATTTTAATAAGACTAGGCGTCAACTATTCAAAATGTACATTACAAATTATTTTCATACAACAGACAGACAGTTGATGGTGCACGTTTTAATTTTTTAATAACATTTCTATGTAATTTTATTTGGTGGAAATCATAAACATATGGTTACTAATAAGGTGTTTTTATTAAAAAATTTAAGTTCTAAAATTTAAAAAAAATGTCTGTTTAAAATTTTCTTTTACATTCTACATTATTCATACTCTGTAGTTACAATTTTACGATTAATAAAAAAATATAAAGTAAAAACAAGTACAACTAAATCTAAATTTTAGACATGATTTTCAGCATTGATTACACACACACACACAATATACTTGGGATCAATTTTTTTTTTTAAACAAATAAACTTTTTGCACAAATTTATAAAAAAAAACTCACTGAAATCTATAAAACCAATTTAAAATTTTAAAACATAGTCAAGGTCAAGTCTAATGTTGTAAATAAAATAAACTATATTATTACTTATTAAATTTGGAAGGTATTTTACTCTCTTGGGGTTTCTTGGTAGAATTAGAGAGATCGACCAAAACCGGACCACCTGCAAGTTTTGGTATGCCCGTCTTGGGTTTGACAAATTCCGTGTTCAACAATCCCGACACGTTGAAATCAATATTTTTCATTGTTGATTTATCCGCCACTTTACAAGGGATTTTGCTTTTTACATTTACTTCTGGTTTTCTTAAACTCATAGTAGGTTTTAGAAATTGGCTATTGTCGTGACTTTTACTCGTACTCAGCGTCAGATCGTGTTTACCGTCTACGAAGCACGGTTCGTTTTCTTTTCGAGAGCTGAAATTACATTTTGGCTTTTCACTGCTTCTAAACATATTTCTAATTTTGAACAGCATTGACATGGGCGTTTTAGGTTCTTCGACTTCAACTTTCATTTTTTTCTCAACGCTGTTGTATTCTTGAGCAGGCTCCATTTTTCTCTTGTTGTCTTCGGGCACGCTGTCTAATTCAATACTGTGAAAAGATTCGCATGTACTACTTTTCTCCGGAGATTCCATTATGAATGACATTTCTTCCATCTGTACATCGGACAACATTTCTGTGTTGTGCGTTACGATAGGTTCATTTTCATTTATGTGTATGACTGTTTCGTTATTGTCATCTGAGCTGCTGTCAGCCAATTTGCTTTCTGACATTGTAGAAGTCTCAGAATTACAAGCCACAGTCGATCCTTGCTCGTGGTTAACAGACACTACAGACATTTGAATGAGGTCGGACACAGGTACATTTCCGTCGTTTGACAAAGGTTCCATCAATTGTGAATGTTGCTCGATTATGCTGAAATCGACAATAGCTGGCTTTGAAACTTGTTGCGATTCGCTTAGTTGGAAATCTGGAAAGGTTAGATTTATGCATTTGGGCTGTTTAAAATCAATAGATTCTTTTACAACCTCGTTTTCACCAAATTCAACACTCTGTTCAATCATTGAGCTTGTAAACGATTTCATTTCTTCGCTTTCGGCCAAGGGAGAAAGTTCTAAATTCTCAATTTGTTCTATGGTTTCGTCCAATATACTCGAAGACTCGTCTAACTTGTTAGTTTCACATTTTTTTTCCACTGACAATTCATCTGCTTCATTACATACAACAGTAGAAACTTGGCTAACATGCATTGCCGATGAACTAATTTTGATAGACTCATTAAACAAATTCAAATTAGAAACATCGGAATTGTTAGTACTACTTGTTGAATTCAAGGCTATTGAAATATCTTCCAAGTCTGTGGTATTATTTAAAGTGACATTCTCCAAATTCCACAAATGTTTACTGCTGCAATCGGCTACGCTGAAGTCGATTAAAGCATCTTTTTTAATAAAGTTTTCAGCAATAAAAGTCGTTTGGCATTTTTTAGTTGTAGGCGTTTGATCTACAATGCTAAAATCAAATAACTTTTGTTTGTTTATTTGACTTGCAGTCATCGGAGTCTGTTGTTTCAAAATGGTAAAGTCCAAAAGTTTCTGATTTTTAGGGCTGCCATTTCTAATATCTTGTGTTTGGTCCATAATTTCAACGCAATTTGAGTTGCTTTCAGACGTTGCCTCTAATAGTTGAATACCACCATTGGATATTAAATTTGTTTGTTCATTGGGAAAACTCACTTCTTCCAACATAACAATTTTACAATCATTGGTTACACTATCTCGGTCATAGGAATTATTCGTATCTTTCTTAAGATCATGTTCACAACAATCCACAGACTCCATTATGTCGTCTACTTTGTTTACAGGTAAATTACTAGTTTGTTCAACACAATTTGAGAAGCTTTCAGACATTGCCTCTAATGGTTGTATATTATCATTGGAAATTAAATTTGTTTGTACACTAGGGTAACTTACTTCTTCTAACATAACAATTTTAAAATCGTTGGTTACATTCTCTGGGCCGTAGGAAGAGTTTGTTTCTATCTCGAGATTGTGTTTTTTACAATCCACAGACTCAATTATTTCAACTACTTCTTTGTCAACTTGTATTTCCGACTTTTCTTGGACTTCAGCAATTGGGTTTGGATTGCTTTCATCGAGCACAGATTGACACTCCATTGTCTCATCTACTTTGTTGTCAACTTGTACTACCGACTTTTCCTGGACTTCAGTTATTGGGTTTGGATTGCTTTTATCGAGCACAGATTGACACTCCATTGTCTCATCTACTTTGTTGTCAACTTGTACTACCGACTTTTCCTGGACTTCAGTTATTGAGTTTGGATTGCTTTCATTGAGCACAGATTTACCAACCGAATGAGAAATAGATTTTTCTTCTAGTATTGAAGAATCTTCAACAACTTTAGTTAGTTCATAAAGTTTGTCAGATTCATTTAAACGAATATTATCTGCAACAATCAAAACTGAATTATCAGGAACTGTTTCGCTTTCAACGATGATCATTTCTAATTGTTCGTTGTTGATCAAAGTTTGCTCATTTATTTTTGTGATTTCGCGGTGTACGCTCTTGTCGATTGTATTTTCCTCGTTTACTTCGGAGTGGGATTCATCAACAATTTTAGAGTTAATAATTACATTTCCATCCTTCGACAGATTTAATAAATCTGAACTCGAAGACGCCATCATATCGGTAGTTTCTAAATTGGGGTTTTCAATACTCACATTCTGGTTTGATACATTCCAAGTGTCTTCCAAAGTACGATTTTCCATTATTACCGATAATTCGGAACTCGAAATATTGTTTGTCAAAGATGAATTTTGAGCCGAAGTACTTTCTAATATTTCCTTGACTAAATCTGAAATGCTTGTTTGCTGTTCGGTTTCTTCAATTACTTCAGCGGTTGACACTTTCTCGGTCACTATACTGTCTTCTTGAATTTCAGTTACCGTTACAACTGGTACAACTAAACTGGCATTTTTAGAAATTTCTGAAATATCGCCAACAAGAGTTATATTAGTAACCAAATTTTTCAATTCAACACTACGCTCTGCCGGACAGTCGGAGTTGTGACTTTGGTCACAGTTCTTTTGCTCCAAATAAGAATGACTTTCTTCCAAGTTATGCGGCTTCAAATTGGACTCGTTCATTTCACTCACTGTACCTTCATTATTAACAGATGTCGCGTTTAAGTTGGACACTACTCGTACTGACTTTTCAAAGTCTAAATTATGCTGCATTACGTGGTACGATTTGTCCAAAGTCACATTACAATATTTAGCTTTATCATTAGAAATAGTATAATCGAGCGTTTCTTCAGTGTAGGACATGTCTTCTAAAGTGATCGGCTCAATTCCCAAACAAGACATATTTGCTTCAGTGACCGCCCCAATCTTCATACTGTAATTGATTAGTTCAGGTGATATCCTTATAGCTTCATTTTCATCGATTGCAGATACAGATAAATTTGATGCTATAAAATGTCCCATCAGACTACTCATGTTACCCACGGAAGGATCATCTTCATTTAATGATACTTCCATAACGTTGCTACTGTTTAACAAACGACTAGTTTTAGTCCAACTGGATTCGTTGAAACTTTCTTCGTTGATAGTTTGGCTTGTTATAGCACTTTCGTTTGAAGTTTGCTCGGGACTTTCAATTTTGAAATCCTCGATGTTGGAACATTCCATGAGTTTACTGTGTTCTCTTTTCATGTCCATTTCATCCGAAAGCATGGAAATGTCACTTACATCTGCTATGTCAGAGATATTTAAATCCTTTTCTGACGCCATGTAACTGATATTGTCAATTAAAATTGTGGGTACATTAGTTTTAACATCTTTGGGCGTAGTAGTTTCTTCGATTCTATCCATATACGGTCCTAACGGTACAAATATTTTGGCACGTAGCGACGGCTTAGCGAGGCGCAAATCAAAAAGCCGTTGTTTTCCCGGAGTAATACTATATTCATCCGGTATAATACTGCAGGCCAAAGAATCATCGCTATCAATATTTCCTTCATCTGCACTTGAGATAATCGAGTCGTTGCAGTCGGGCTCGCTAATATTTACAAACTTACAAATGTTGGTTCCTGTCACATCGTCCATTTTTACACTACGTTCCACAACACTCGATACAGATGACCGTGCATAGGAAATGCTTTCATCGCCTAAAAACCATAACTGTACATTAAATAAATTACAAACAATTTTTAACAAAGGAGAGCACGGCAAATTCATACCAGAACACGATCCTTCATAATTAGCTGACGTATCTTCAATACTAGTTTGGTCAGTTAATTTTCCTTCGCAGAAGCTCAACATAGCTGTGTAAATAAAATAATTTTTTAAATATTAATAAATTAGTAGAAAGCACGGCAAATTCATACCAGAACACGATCCTTCATATTTAGTCGATGTATCTTCAACACTTGTTTGGTCAGGTACTTTTCCTTCGCAAAAGCTAAATATAGCTGTGTAAATAAAATAGTTATTATTGAATTGTAATAAATTAGACTTATTATTAGTTTTAACTTGGATGACACATACAAACATCACTATTGTCTTGCACAAATTTGGTTTCATCAAAGGTTGTTTGATCTGTAATCAATATAATATGACAAATGTTAAAATAAAATAGTAAGCATGGAGAAGTCAATGACTAGCCAATGACTCATCTAAAAAAAAAAAAAATTATTCTACAAGAAATATATTCGCTGTACAAAATTAAAAAATTAATGATATCCTAAAAAATATCACGCATTGAGAAGCATGGAGAAGTCAAAAAATATTGGGGACAGGGAAGTCGAAAGTTTTCAGGAATTTTTATAATGATGAAATCTTTTACATAAAAAAGTTGATGCCAAACTGCGTAGTAGATGGTTCAAATAAATAATAATATTTTTTACGATGAAATACCATGAAATAATTTCATTCAAATTGAACGACAAACTTCCAAAAATACGACTCTCAAAGTGTATATTTTCCGTTTTAATAATAGGCCCAAAAAACTCAAAACTGATGCGATGAATATATTTTCTTTAGTCAGTTTCGTCAAAATGTATAAAAAATATTCAATTATAAAAATATTGCATGAAATTATTTGGATCAAATTTATATTGATTCTTAGTTCAGTCGAACAATGGTACAAAAAAAAAAAAAATTGTACAATTATTGTTAACAAAAAAATATGCTGTACGACTAATTCAATTTTACCTTTACTACATGATTTGCTATAATCTTGCTCCATAGCCAATGACTCATCTAAAAAAAAAAAAAAATTATTCTACAAAAAATATATTCGCTGTACAAAATTTAAAAATTAATGATATCCTAAAAAATATCACGCATTTGTTTTTTGGAACGCTTAAATAATCGATAAAAAACAATTTTTATTTACAAGTTATTTTGCACAGTAAATAACAATTGTTATTAAACTCCGTTGTATTAACTTTATTGTTTTCATATAATAATTTGTTATTTAAATTTCAAAAAACTTATTTTCTCTTATTTTTTTTTATATCAAGCACGTAGATTTTAGTTTACAAAAAAACATTACCTAAAGAAGTAAATTCTTTGAGAAGGTATTTAGCTAAAACTCCAGTATCCAGGACTTCTTGCGAAAATGGAATATCGCCTACGGTACTCGGTGATGAAAATTCAGCTGCAAATAATAACAATTTAAGTTATGGCCCTATTCTATAATTATAACAACATGGTTAGAACAACCTAACCTCCTAACTCTAGTACATATATTATTGATTTTATTTTAATGACTTACAAATAAAAGTCTTGCTGTCTTCTGATATTTGTATAGTCTCGTCTTTAATATTGGCCATTGACTGATCACCCAAGTTAATTGATCTCTGTGATTCGTTACCTAAAATATAAGGAAGCTCCGAGTTATCAGCAAACACTTAGGTTTTTATTTTATACATTTTTAAATTACTCACTTATGATAGTTTGTTCTGAAATTGTTCTTTCTTTGACATTTTCTTTGTCTTCATCGGAGCAATCTTCTTGAAAATATGATTGGCTAAAATAAATGTTATAATTAACTTTTTATACTTCACAATGTACAGTAATAAAAAAATATTTTCAAACTTAAGGCATAAGTAAATTCATTGATTGTTTAAATTTATCAATACTATAATCTATATCTATAGTCTGATTTTATGTAATTGGTCATTAGATTGGTTAAAAAAAAAAACTTTTTTACTATTTTGTTTGCACCCTACCCCCCCCCATTTTTTACTCAACCCCTCCATGCCGCATTAGGGTTGAAGTTTAGCCAAAAAGGTTCCTGAAACTTCAAACCTTAAGAAGGCACGTGGAGGGGTTGAATAATCGAGCCCAAATTTTCACATAATTATTTAGATCCATGTCTATTTTGTATTATTTTTAAATAAAAAAAAAATCTTTTTGTCAATACACTGTCAACTGACAGTAATTGCAATTTTAAACAGCAATGCAACAAAGATAAATAAATAAAGGAATGAACAATTTTTTATACGAAAATATAATTTTTATCAGTTTTCAAAAATTCAATATTTTACAGGGGGAGATCAATTTAACGTAAGAAACTCATTTTCTTGGAATATTTGAACATTTTGATAATTTTTATGCCTATACTTTGAGGTCTTAAGTATTGTACTAGAATTTATATTTTAATAAATTAAATCATGACCCTGGGTTAACCCGGTACATAATACATTTTCATAAGGATATAGTTATGAGAAAATCTAAAAATAATTGAAACCTATTGCATATCATTCTTAATTATTCTATAATTAGTACCTATATAACATTTTAAAATTTACCAAATATATATAAATAGGTTTTCTGCTATACCTTTGCTTTGCGTAAAATAATACATACCATAACCTACCCACTTATTCTTGTCTACGACGTCATGATATATACAATGTGAAAATGAAAATCTGCACTACTCCTTAATTAAAACTACTAAGTATTCACTATTATGGGTATTGAATTATCAATGACATAATATCAAACCTTAATTTTACATCTGCCGGCAGTATGGTATGTCTCGGCATACGTTTTTGAAATGTTTTCTCTATATCCGTTACTGCTCCACAAAATATGACCGTCTCGTCGAGATCGTCATCTTGAATGCAACTCTTGTTACTCATCCTGTAAAATATAGTAATTAAATGGCGAGAAAAATTATCTCCCAAAACTAGATTAATGAATGAATAGAAAGTTGAAACATTGTTATATTTTAAAATGCATTCCTCATAAGTAAGAGCATTGATGAAAGAAAAAGCGTCACGATTCTTGTACATTTTAAACATTAATTATACACACCTGAACGTTATTTAAATATACTTGCTATGAAGAAAAAAAAAACACTAGACTTTAATTATAATTAAACGAATCGACTTGACATTTAATAAAAACAAAACACTACAGAAAAAACTGTTTACAATTGATAATTGTTACTTACGACGCGAACGCGAAACGACATTTTACATTATAAACGAATAACGTTTGTGTCTTGTGATTTGACAATTTTTCCGTTAAAAAAACGTTATGGCGCTGGGCGGCCGGGTCAAGTACTCATAGGTATGCCGGCAAGTCGAGTTATCAGTTTACCAACATGGCCGCTCACCGCCGTCGTCCCGTAAGCAACACTCGGCCGCCCGACGATGGTGGTGGCCATTTTGCGGTTGTCGCCGACGTACCTGTCGCGTTTCGGCCGCGCCGTCCACCAGCCGACCGTTATTCGGCGTTTACTGCGCATGCGCGACACCGCACAGTGATCTGAATTTCAAAAAACAAGATTTTTTATTTAATATGATTAAAATTCATTAAAAAAGTTCAAATGATATGTTTTTGGAGTCGTTGAATTCTAATTTAAAATCATCCACCTACTAAATAACGGGTTACGGGGGATTTTTTTTTCAAATTTGATAAAAGGTTAAGTTGCACTTCAAATGATACGTTTGTGGGTCGCCGAATTCAAATTCGACATTAGATTTACAATACAATATTTAGGCAATGATATATAGTTATTGCAGGTACACTATACAATAAAGTATTATAGTCCAGGACAATGATTATATTTTTATGGCTTTTCATACGTACAGAGCTTATTTTGTAATAAGAAAATCTTTTAAAGATTGGTTTATAAGCCTTTTTCAAATACAAAAAAGTGCTGTAATACGCATTTAGTATAGTATTACTCATTAAAAAAAAATTATATATAAATATATATTTGAAAAAGTTTGAACATTTGTTAACAAGTTTATACACTTGAAATAATGTCGGAGTAGTTTAATTATTAATATCCAAGTTAACATATTTTATAACAAATAAATTATAGAAATCCCGAAGTAATAATTAATGATAAAATATTATTATAAAAAAAACATACACTTTTAAGTAGTACATTATATTGCTAATTACTATTATTGTATATAGTAAAAAATTCAGTTTCCTAGGTCAAAGTTGAGAAATTGATTTTCGATCGCGTTTTTCGGATTTCAGACCACCGCGCGACTCGCCGCCATTGGCATGAAGTCAGTAATGCGACCGGCAGCCAGTCACGCTGCCGACATCGTCGCTACGTTCATGGCGTACCGCATACCCGAGGTTCACATGTCTGCTGCTAGCCTTTCCCCCGTGCTACGTTGAATACTTGAATAGTATCCACGTTGGCTCTGCAGCATGGCAATACATGGCACTTTGCGGCTGCCTTAAGACGTTGTCAGGATAGTTCTGTTCCCGTCTTCGCCGTTGCCCCGCTGTTGATCGCCGCCACGACCACGTTTGTCACTAAATAATAATTACACACTGTCGACGGCTGTGTTCTGCTCTCAACCGAAAGGCGGTCGCCGGCGTGGGCCAAAAGAAATGGACGATGAAATCATTGACGTGATCACCGAATGTAGTTTCGATTACTTAGAATCCCTGTACGAACCGTGGAACAAAACCGAAACGACGTAAGCAAATAAAAAAAAAAATCTATAAACCCGACTAGCGTACACACAGCCTTAGTGCAGGCGTAGTAATCCAACAACGATTGTCCAACAGGTACAACCGAATCAGCCCCCAATGGTTAATACAGCTTGCAGACGATTGGAATTCTGAGCATGTAAGTCTATATAAATAGAAAAAAAAACACCTACACAGTGGGGTCGGGGGAAGAAATCGGTCAATAATTGGGTGAAAGTGACACAATTGCTTTCGAATAAAGGATGCAAAACTGCGTAGATGGTAAAAAACTTGAGTCTTTTTGAGCAGAGACGTTTTTCATCAATTGATTGTGTATAATATCTGGTGATTCTTTCAACACCCTAAATACCTGTTTTCTCTTAAAATAATTGATATTATGTAGTTTTAGTTTTTGAAAATATTTTATAAAATAATTGATATTATGTAGTTTTAGTTTATGAAAATATTTTATTTTTATGCTATATTTCTATATTTTTTAGTATTTTTTAGGACTTTATCAACTTTTAAAACTTAATGGTAGTGTATATATTTAAAAACTTTTAAATTAAGAATACTATGCTGACATTTTTGCCTAGTCAATAACCAGTTTTGAAGTTAATTCAATTAAATATAATATATTTTACCATTTAAGTTTAAAAAGTTAATAGCTTTAGCAAATACTTAAAAAAGCTAAAAATTTGAATATTGTCTATTATTGTATTTTAATATAAATATATGTTTTCAAAAAGAGTCACCCTATATTGTAAAAAAAAAAACTACGCAGTATTATTATTATTTTCATAAAATAACAATCACTCTGTATACATGGCAATACTATCTCAAAAGGGTTAATCATCTGTAATAATTTGTTGTTATTGTTACCCATTAACGGTATAATGATAATATTTTTACAATACATATAGGCTGTTGATTGGTTCACACATTGGAACCTAGAAATGTATTACAATCGTGTAATTTCCCCTTTTATCTTTTTCCTTAATAAAAAAAAATGTTTGTCTACAGATTTTTCATAAACGTCCTAGCCCTGCTCTAGATCGACTAGATCTTGTCTAAAAAAAAAGCTCCTAACTTCTTTTTACCTAATGAAAACTTTGGCTATGTTCGGTTACAGAATGAATGCAAAGATGTGATCAGCGTAAAGCGAGAATCTAGGAAACTGAAGAAACGTTTGTCGGAAGACGCTTGTGATGAATCCAAGTACAGAGAAATTCTCAACAAATACAAAGAAAACGATGTGTTTGTGTTGCCAAACGGCGAAGAGCTGGTCAGGGTGCGAAAAGATTCAAACTCTGAATCGGAAATCGATATTATGGAAGGAGAATCTATGAATAATAATAATAATAGTACAGACTGGCGATCAATTAAGTCTAATGTTTACGGCAGTAGAGACATAGAGAGTTTACCAGCTCCGACTCGTGAAAAACACTTAGACAATAATATTATCACAGCAGACGAAAGGTGTTTTCATCCAAACATATTTGGAAAAAAAGATGACAAAAAATATTTAAAAGTGTGTATTTTTTTTCTTAATTAAAATGATAAATATTACAAAATACATATTTTATGAACAAACCTTGTTGTAGATAAGAAACACAATATTAGAACTGTGGAAAGTAAATAAACCGGATTACGTTTCAAAAACATTGGCAAAACAAAAACTAAAAAAATGCGGCACTGCCAAAGAAGTAGGCCAAGTGCATACGTATTTAGAACATAAAGGATATATCAATTTTGGTTGCGGTAAGTTTTGCTCGTTTTAAAACATTCTGTAACAATAATAACAAATTTAAATAATTTGAATAAAATTTCAGATGAATGTAAATACAATAAACATATTAAAAAGGAATCCAATGTGAGGAGAAATAGAGAACTAAAAACGAATTACAATCTTAAACCCATTATCGCCGGAAGATATAATAAATCCTATAAAAAAGTAAGGTTTTTTTTGTTTTATAAAAAATATTTGTCAAACTATATATTCCAATAGTTTTGTAATAAATAGTAAATTGTAATTTCAGTAAGTCTTGTGAGAATAATTCGACTTATATTTTATTAATATGAATAATTACAGATAAAGGAATTAGGCGGCTATACGATAAGTCACGAAAAAATCACAGCCCCCCAATGGGAACACAACTATTCGGTTTCAAAACAACGTCGCTGTTGATCACTTATTTGTTAAAGTAAAAGCACAAGGCTGTGAATTATTGTATTTACGCAACTACGCTAATATGTATTTGCAAATATGATTTAACGTAAATTATGTATAGGTAACTTTAACTCTTTCTTGTTTTTTTTTTTGTTAAGAACGTGATAATATTGTTAGTTACTTTCTAAACACAAACTTTTTATAAATGCAACTTAATATTGTAACAATGGCTTTTTACCTGACTTATTATTCAATGTTATATTATGATACGAGTGCAAGTTGGACGTGGAAATGACACAATATGACTAATACTTTTGAGGGTTGAGTTTGTGAGAGAGATATTGTGTTGTCGTTTTCATTGTCGATAAGTTGCCGTTAATGAGCTTAGATTCTTTTTGTAGACATCCGCTTGAGACATTACCAACTAAGAATATTGATTTACAAAAATTGTTCAACATTTTGAACATCTATTTATGTATTTAAATATTTTCAAACAAACATTGTTTGTTTCAGATCATAACCGGTATTTTAATGAACTAAGAGTCTAGCTGTAAAAATATTTGTTATGAGTTATTGTGTTAGGTAGATATTTTTTTATTTATATAATAAATTACATTATTTTAATGTTTTTGTATGAATCTAATAATTATACCCATTATAACATAATAACAAAATTGTGTCTTTAAATAAAAAGAAACTTTTCATAAATTTGATTGTAATTGTGTTAATTTTTTTTTTAACTTGTTTATTAAGATATAAAATAAGTTTTATAAAGAGAATTTGATAATCTGTAGTATCAGGAACTATTGTTAGTAAATACATCTTTAATAATGTTTTTAATATAATTTATAGCAATTAAAGTGAATTGATGTATTTATCACTCAAACTTGTGTAAAAAACGAAAAAATGTGTTATTTTTACATTTAATTAAACCTACCATTGATTTTATATGTTAAAAACTTACCATTTTAAACGAATAATGAAAATCTGACCTACAAGATCGAAATCAATCTCATAACCGCTAGTACCAACGCTTAATCAGGTTTATAAAACGGCTGCATTTTGTAAGAGATGATGCTCGAGGCTGCTTTAGAAAATATTAGTAAAAGTACTGTATTATATTATTACTGTAAAATAATTAAAATAATTGAGTAGTTTCCTAGTACACTTTTAGTTATCTGCAACGAAATTTAATTTCACTTAAAAAAATATAGAATAAATACTGGACCTCATCTGAGCCACGTTTACAGTTATTAATTGTGCTCGGCGTTAAGGATAAAAAACATTTCTAAAAAGGACAAAAACTGTAGTAACAAATTTACAGGTTTCTGTATTCTGAGTTTATTAATTGTTGTTATTAATGAAGGGGTAAGAAGGTAGTTTTACTCAGCAATTTAGAAAACAAATGAAACTGAAAAAGCTAAAACGTTTTTGAAAAGATTGCTTTTCATTAAAAATGTAACTGTATTTTTCAGTCATTATTACAATATTATGAATTCATATTTTTAATCAATGCCCTAACTGTTTGTTAAAAATGTTTTTTGTTAACAATTTAGTGTAAACCTCAGTATATTTAGGTATCATGAAATTTAAAAAGATCACCCAAAAGGTGTTTTAGTTGTTATGCTAGCACAGATGAATAGTGTCATTAATTCGGTTGTTTTAGTATTGAGATATATTTTTAAGAAAAATAATCATTAACGAAATGAAATCAGTTTGTGTCTTAATATAATACTATTAGAACACGTTTGCAATTAAATGATTTGTATAATACAAAATTATGGATACGATAAAAAACATCATTGTTTTGTTGCACAGTGTTTGCGCACGGTAGTTTTTTTTTTTAGTAAAATGGCAACACTTACAAAATTATCAACGTTGATTTTTGCTATCACCATTCACCAATAAAATGCGATTTGATTTGATTATTATTATTATTATACCTATTTTATAATTTATAATATTATTCCGTATTTAAACTCAAAATAAACTTTCTAAATTTCATTCGGCTTAACTAAATTACAAAAATTGTTTTCTAAAATTGTATACATTACACGTTTTGTATACAATACATTACTGTGGCTGGTGACTCATATTTTCTAAATCAATGACATTATAATATCCAGGTAATGATAGTCGATGATATATATTTTATATTTTTATTTGAAACACATATTGTAATTAACAATCATTATGTTTGTGCGGTATAATTAAAGGTGCACTACATTTTAGAATGGACAACGACGATTTCACTGCAGATTTATGTGCCGAGCAGTTAGGCAAGCTATTTCAGTTTCAAGATCTTACCGGTATTGAAAGTCTACCGACGTGCCGAGATGTGTTGCAAAGGCACAACTGGGATTTGGAATCTGCTGTTCAAGATCAATTAAATCTCAGAGAAGGTCGTCCGTCTGTGTTCGCTGGCACATCGGAAACGTCGTCTGGGCCTACAGTGTTGGTGGATCCGACCAGACAGCAAGTATTCAGTTCAGACCATACTGGATCTAGCAATTTCCTATCGTTTATTTTTGATCATATTATAAGAACGTTCTATAGTACTATTGTATCTGTTGTGCGGTTCACTTGGAGTCTAATATGGCCCGAACCCCGGGCACCGACAACCGATCCCGTTGCCGATGTAGGGAGGTTTATCGAAACGTTTGAATCGTTATATGGTAATGTTCATCCAGTGTTTTACAGAGGATCTTACAAACAGGCGTTGAACGATGCTAAACAAGAGCTGAGGTTCCTTGTTGTTTACTTGCATCAAAATGACCATACACATAGTTCCAATTTTTGTAATTCAGTTTTAACTAATAGTGATGTCATTTCGTTTTTGAACGAGAGTAATACACTTTTTTGGGCTTGTGAACGTGAAACTAATCAAGGAAGCCGCGTTGCTTCCGCTCTTTATGCCAGCTCCTCTCCTTATGTAGCAGTGATTGTATTGATTGAAAGTCGCATGATACTTGTTGCACGAATGGAAGGCCCAGTTACTGCTGAGGAGTTTGTTAGAAGATTGCGTACTGTATTTGAAACAAACGAAGCTTATCTAGTTGCCGCTCGTGCCGAGCGCATTGAACGCAGTTTTAATCAGTCATTACGGGAACAACAGGATAGGGCATATTTGGAATCGCTGCGTGCAGACGAACAGAAAGAGCAGTTAAAACGAGAAAAAGAAAATATTGAACGAGAAGAACAGTTGAAAAAAGAAAGAGAAGAAGAAGAAGTCAAAGCCCAAAAAGAAGAGCTGAAAAGAAAAAAAATTGATATGATGGCACAAATTCCACAAGAGCCACCCGCAGAAGATCTGGGCGCACTAACAATTGTATTTATAATGCCGGGAGGAACCAGAATAGAAAGGCGTTTTGCCGACGTATCGCCCCTTTCGGATATTTTTGATTTTGTATTTTGTCATCCAGGCTCACCTGATACTTTTGAAATAGCCACCAATTTTCCAAAACGAGTTCTCAGTGCTGAAGAAAGAGAAAAAACATTGAAACAGGCCGGCTTACAAAAAAGAGAAGTACTTTTTATCAACGATTTGGACTCTTAAGTTATTTAAAACATATTTTTAAATGTATAAAAAATTAATAATAATAATGTATAAACTTTATTGGTGTACATGACAACGGTGTTTTTAAAAATGAAAATAAATATTCCAATCTAATGAAAAGTCTATATTTGATAGATAAACATAGAACCTAATACCAGTTATTCATTTGTATTATTATATATCTATATATAAATGTTTATTTTTTTGTTTTTTTTAAATTCGTTATGCGAGAATTTGTTTTATTTTCTATTCTTGATCACGCGGTCATTTTATTTTCACTCTTACGGTACAAAAAATAAATTGTTTTAATATTTAATGAACTGTATGATACATAATAAATAGATTTGTTTTATTTACGAGTAAGTGTTCTCTTTATTTTTCCACAATACATTTTTAATTGCGTTCTGAAAATCACGCATTCTATCTGCAAAACATTACCACAAGCACGAAAATACATAAGTACAAAATATGTGCTAGGTTATGAATAATTCATCATCAGTAAACAGGCTTTTAAGGCCCAACGATACCATCATCATGAGATAATGGTTTCTATATGAATTCACTATGTATAAATAATATGTATGTTTAGTACATTTTTTTTTCTATTATTGGAAAAACTAATCAAATACCAGGTTCACGTTGATGTGTTGATTTTATCTATTATTTAATTGTATTCTTGAAGACATGTTATAATATCTCTGACCCCACTACATAAATTTCCCAATTGTTAACAGGTATTATTGTGCTAGACGAACTTGATCAGCGACTTGACAGAATAGTAAACACCGTAAAAAAACATACAATTACTAGGTTTTCAGATTGTCAACAAAACAGCGTGAAAAAATTACATTGTAAAAATTATCGTTTTTAGCTCTCAACCATACTCTTTAAACTCATTCTGACATTTACGATGGACAGTTTAATTGTCAATACACGTTGTATTTGTTTAATCATTTTTTTAATACAAAAAAAACAGTTACAATAAAAATAGTTTTATTTTGTTTTGAATTAACTAATTGCATAATAGTTCCCTCAATAAAAAAGAAAAATAAAGAACAAAAATTATAATACTCGTAACTTTTTTTTTATACATTTTCAACCCCCCCATATATCTATGTTAAAAAGAAAAGAAATATGGCAACTATTGTATTAAATATTATCATTATGGTTTTAATAAACATTATACTGTTTTGGCATTTTGTGGTACCTATGACTAGACAAAACGATTTTGGAAAAATTACCAACCGATGATAATAATAATAGTATTACAAAACAAAAATTATAATTGGTAAGTAGCACCCTGATTAGAAATTTCATTTCCTATCAAAAAGCTTTAACTTTGACTGAACGGCTCCTTCGCAAACTAGTATTCGTTTGCCGCAAATAGTCGGGCTTTGTACACTTGGCGCACGCCGTAAAACTCCAGACACGAGGCCTGAACGCTTTGGTCGTACAGACGAATGCGTCTCCTTCTGACTCTGCTTTTCTTCAAAATATTCGACAATTTTACTTATATGTCGAGTTCTCTGAAACAATAATAATACATTGATCATTATAGTAACACAAAAATTTTAGGTTTTATTCGACATACAAAATGTTTTGTAGACTTGCAACACTTTTGCTGCAAATATTATTCACTTAAAAATAATTGTATCAAAAGTGCTATTGGCCTAAAATCATAACTAAGAAGTGGTCGACTAGTCGTAGAGTCGTAGTGAAAAATCGTGCACGCGAGAATAGTATACACAATTTAGGTAAAATAATGCAAAATATTAAGATAGGATAGTTTTTCTATACCTGATGATTGTCCCAATCATTATACGTCGAGAGATCATCAGAACTATGATGTGTATTACTATGGTGGAAACAATATCCGCCAGGTCTGAGGTGGTGTTCATCACCAGTCGAGTCTAGGAACAAAGATGACGTAGCCGAACCAGATGACAATGTCACGGACGAAGCATTGGTCGCGTGTTGGCACTCGAGTCCTGCCAAAACGTAGTGCTCATTAGTATTGATCTCGCTTTCGCTTGCCGGCCACGCAACAAGAAAACAGACGAGCGCACATAACTGTCATTTTAAAATTGCGCAGTTATATAATAAAATTAACAATTCAAAAACGCTTTCACGCATGACATTTAAACTTGACAATACCTGGTAGACAAAAATCATCACAAACACTACTGTAGAACCCCGATTCGCACGAGCCTCTTCGTCTCAGGGTCGTTACGCCAGCGTTTACTGGCATCGTGAGGTTAGTCCAACACGACTCAACGTTGACCGTAGGAAATGTGTCAGTTGTACTCGCTAAATTGGCCAGAGACATCCATCGTCTTCCACTGGTTCTGGACGTACGAGGAGATGATGGTAATGAGTTTGATCGACATTTTTTTGACGATTTAGCGTGTTTTTCTTTGGGTGTAGACGATTTGGCCGTTAGTGTTCCGCTGCTCGAAACACTCAACGAGCCTCGTCTGTCTGGCTCACTGTAGCCAGGCGAAGGTAGTTCACAGCATGAAGAAAACAAATCCGAACCATTTGTCGACGCTAGTATCTTTCTGACACCTTGAAATTTGGCATCCAATTTATGAAAAGGATTTGATTTGGACGGGCAGGGTTTGTAATGGGGGTCTTTACGGCACATGCTTTCACCCACATAACGAAGAGGTTGTACAAAATGACATCGTGCTTTATCTGAGGGAGCTGTGTGTGCTGGAAATGCTAAAATGCCTTCGTCTTCGGATAACGATCTACTATGACACACTGAAAAAAAGAAAATGCAACTGAATCATAAACATATTAATTAATTTTACTTGCTTACATAAAGATTCATTATTTTAACCTTATTGTTACAAATAGGATAGTAAAAGAGTTGACAATAGCTCAAAAAAGGACTTTTCAATATTTCTTGGGAAATGTGAATGGATCGGAAGTTATGAAGTTGATCTCTAAGTAATTTGTAAGATGATATACGCCTAAAATAATGTAATACCAAACTATAGAATTAATTACATTTTTTGTGATTGTTTTCTTCGGGTACATCACCCTTTAACAGGAACTCTTCACTTCGTGCTTCCACCATAGTAGTTGAGCAAGGATTGGACCGAGTTGCAACGGCTGGACACCTACGCGATCCGGTTAAAGACGAGTTCATCGCGAGTGGATACGCCAGTGCCTCTTCCAATTGTTGGACAATATCTTTGAATGTCGGTCGTGATTTAGCATCCAACTGTAACATTATTTTTATTGTACAATTAAATGACATTTATATATAAAAAAAAAAAATTAAATAAAACTTACATGACAACACGAAAAGGCTAATTTTAGAAATATAGTAGGTGGTGGACAAGATGAACAAAGCTCGACAAAAGCTATGTAGTCTAAGCCAAAATTTTGCGTCCTTGGTAAAATATCAGGATCGGCTTTGACTCTGGCTATTATTTCACACAAAATAATTCCATAGCTGAATACATCACTGCTTTCATTATACACTTGACCTTTGACACATTCGGGAGACATCCACCAAGGCGAGCCGACTTGTTGTAACCTTTGACCTTTCCTGGAAATTCAATTTTTGATTAATATATGTCTTTATTGGTAATTTCATGAAAATTAATTAACATACTTGGGAATTTTTGCAGCCAAACCAAAATCGGCAACGACCGCAGTTAAACTTCCAGTCAATTCATTTTTCTTAATAAGAATATTCTGAAATTTGTGCAATAAAATAAATACTATTTTAAAGGTTATTAAAAAAAAAAAATAATAATAAATAAATAGTAATTTAAATTTTCGAATAGTTTAAAAATAAATAGCTTAATTAGTGTAATAAATAAATTGCCACATTAACTTACGATTTGGTTACATATTTTCGTAGTTAATACATATTAAATTACCTTTGACGTTAAATCACGGTGAAATATCTCTCTCGAATGGAGATATTGCATGCCTCTTGCAATATCAAGGCCTATTTTCATTCGAACTTTAAATGAAAGTTCCTTATCCGATTCTAATAATTGTTCTAAGCTTCCACCATTTATGTACTATTTAAAAAGAAAAATAATAATTAAAAAATTAAAATTTATTTTTAATTTTTAGTTATATTTACCTCTGTTAAAGCATGAAGTGTGCCTTTGTAAACACAAGCTCCTTCAAACCTATAAATAAAAAAATTGTACAACTATTATTTATCTAATAAAATTGTTATACTCGTTGAACAGATATTAATCATGTTTAAATGTCAACAAACAACGACAGATTTTGAACAGAAAAATTGAGTCAGTAAGGAATGATGTTTGAATCGTAAATTAACGTGATTCATTTACCCGAGTATATTGGGATGCGATAGCTTGTTCATTAGCTGGACTTCCTTGAGCATATTAAAACGGTTTGACTGCTTAATGTTCATTTTGAGGACCATGACTTTTCCGGTCGTTTGATGAGTAACGCGGTACACCTCAGAAAAGAAACCTTCGCCAATGCGTTCACTCGTAAAGTCATCTAAATTAGTTAAAGACCGTACAGCGTGTTTAAGCGCACAGCAAGAGTTTCCTTTGAGTTTACAGCCTTCTTTGCGCTGGAATTCTGTGTTCCTATCTTCCATAGTAGTCAAGTAGTTTGTCATAACATTGTACTAATCTGAAGAAATAAGATTATAAGATTATTAAGATTAATAAGTAGAAGATATTGGATTAACACAATACAATGATTTTACACACTCGAACAAGAATACTGTTTCAAATAAAATAATAATGTGTATTATTGATGGCAGCAAAGTGGTATTCATGGATACGATTATTAAAATATTGTAACTAAAATTTGTAAAAAACTTTTTTTTTTTTAATATCAATATCAAATCTAAGCTCAGCAAACCCCATTGGTTCTAAAGTTAATTGAAATTAAGTGGTTAATACTATTTTTAATACAAATAATAAACGAGTATGTTTATATATAATAATATGGTAAAAAATAATAACCATTAAACAACATTAAATAAAATACTTATTTAACATTTCTGAAACTATACCTACATAAAAATTCATTCATAGTATATTCTCTTAAATGATCAATAACCTTTTAGAAGCAAAGGATTTCTAATTGCACATTCAGAATTTCTTTTTAAATGAATTGACTTCAGCAAAATAATAGAGACCACATAACAAATAATATCTATTGAATAATAGAAAATATTATCCTTAGTCAAAGTTGAGAAAAACAAATTGGTTCTAAATAAATTTGAAACGTGGAATAATTCAGATGAAACTTTCAATTAACCAGAGAAACTAAATTGAATTTCCTATAACGTGAATTTAAATTACTAACTCGGCTGCTAGGCAATTTGTTTTTAGTCAAAATAATGTAAGTAACTAATTCTGAAAAATGAATAAAAGTCAACGATTCATTGCATTAAAAAGTAAACAAATTAATCATTGAAAAACACTATTCTTTGATAGTTAGTTGTAAACAAGAATGTCGTTTTATTGATGTCACAATCAGATTCTAGTAAATTAATATCCGACATCCGAAACGAATCAAGCCACGAGCCAACAATTTTGTTTGGTTGGAGAAAAACGTTAAAGGTTGATGCTGAAACAAAAAGATACGCTCGAAAGTTCCACTGTAAAACAAACCCAGACCAAAGTCGTAGTCCAAGTTGTGCTCATATAATATTAAATTATTACTATATGTGATATGCAACTATGAGTACTGCAGTTAATATGAGTAATTAAAAATGAAATTCACTTACTCGTCGATTCTGCCGCCATTCAAGTGATGATAGTATTCAATATAAAACGCCAACTAGGTAGGTACAGTGCAATTAACTAGTTAAGTCGATTAAAACAATAACTATTACCATGAATACATATAAACACTCGCCCAAAAATCGGGCCTAGAATAGTAATATTTACGTTTAAAGTCACACACGATAATTATCTATAGAATAATTAATATACATTAGAAGGAATGGTAGAAAAAAAATTGACGAACGAACACCGATCACCGTCAAAAACGAAAATCGAGTAGCAAAGAAAAATTCACTTAAAAACCAGATAACAAGCAATTATTAATTTTGATATTTTTACATTTATTATTATATTATATTAATATTATATACTTGTTAAATATATATATATATTTTTTTTACGCATACACACTTTTCAATACTTCATTCATGTCAACACGGCAGTGCAGCCAACGTGACGGCGCGTCAAACATGTCGTGGGGGGGATGGACTTTCGCTTTTGCCGACGGCCGGACACCGCCGGACCGAAAACTATAGGTACGCCGGCGTTCAAACGCGTTATCAATTTCGGAACGAGCCGTGTGTTTCCAAACGACGGCGGTGGCCATTTTCAATGGTTACCAGATGGTGGTCGACATACCTATGCCCGTTTTGCCGAGCCGTCCAAATCCTTGTACGAAAATTACTTACACCTCTCGAAATTATTCAATATAAGTTGATTAAAGCTGCTGTCAAATGACAATACTTAGGACTTGGCCTCTTAAGTTTTAATTGAGCCGACTTAAAACTCCCCTAATTATAAAAATATATTAATGATACGGACATTTTGGTCTCGACCGTCCAAGACAGATCGCCGGAGAATATTATAACTGTGCACCACTAAATATTTATATACGTCTTGAACGTTTTATTTGAACCGAAAGCGGTCTCGACGGTGTTAAATAATAATATTTCGATTTAATACCGAAGATGTATCTGAGAGAAATGGCAGGAAATATTATTTGAAACGAACAAAACAGTGTGTACCTAATGTCGGTTCATCGATTCGTCGTTGGTCCGGCAATGCAATGATAATGAAAACAATTAGGGGCGGGAATAATACCTGTTCACCCACACTGTACAGACTACGGTCCCGGAGATTCTGATTAATGTTTCCAAAAAATCGTATCTATCGTATATATTGAGAAGAAAATGGACGAACGCAATTATTATTATTATTTATTACCACTGTAGTCAATGTAGGAAAGTCGGTTCAAAAGTAATATATTAGATAATTCACCCGAGTCGTACAATCAAACGTCGCCGGAGAGTGTAATGTGTGCGAATGTGTCTTAGAGCCGAGGATATAACGTTTATATAGTACTTTTTATTTGTTTTTGTTGTGATTGCGAACGAACCGCCGAAGAAAGTATAGATACATTATTATTGTAGTTTAGTGATAATAGTGTTTTTGTATTGTTGTTGAATAAATAATAATACATTTCCCGTCGTAATAACACACGAACCGAAGAATACGTTAATAATATTACGTGCAATTAATATTTGATCGTAACAACAATGGAAACAAGTTAAATAATATCCATTGTCGAGTTCGTTCACATGGATCCGTTCAATTTGTCGCGTTATGCCAATCTCACCATTCAGAGGGTACAACAACCCCCCGAGGAGAAACCGCCTCCTCCGTATAGTGAAAACGAAAAAGAAATGAGTGACAACAAAACGGACAACGATGGTGAAGAGGAGGAGGAGGAGGAGGAAGAAGATCAAGAAGAAGATGAAGCAACGAACAAAATCGCTACCGAGTTACCTGAGGTAGAGGATAAACACGATGATCTGGTCGATCCAGTGATGCCCGGCATAGAAACGGATACCGACACAGAATCCAATGCCACCAACGAAGTTACTACGACTCAGGTCGAGGAGACCGTTGAAGTCAAACAAGAAATCCAAGATCCCGAACACAACTCTGAAAGCGATGGTGAAAATCAAGATCAAATTGATGAAGAAATAGAGTCAAATTCCAAACGAAAATCCGTCGAAGAGAAAGACGGCGATCAAGTATCAAAAAAACCAAAAATGACTGATGAAAGTAAGTATATTTTCCAATATATTAAACTTACCCAGTTTTTATTGTTTTTGTAAACCTTTTTATTATTATTATTAACGCAGAAACTAGTGATGAAGATTCTGAAAATCAAACAACTTCAGAAAAACGACTGACAAATTTGAGAAGAAATATTCGCGAGGTAATGGACGAAAACAAGTTAGATGAAGCAACCTTGGCCGCTCAGAGACAAGAAATGGAAAGATTAAGACGTGTGCAAGAACAACAACGTCTAATTAGAGAAGTATGACTGTCACTCGCATTTAAAGATTTAATCATGTATTGATAAATAATGTGTTATTAGGTACAAAAACAGATAGCAATAAATAAACAAAATTCAAAAGCTCAAGATCGGGTGATGTCTTTACTCCAAGGTGGTACCACGTCTTTAATTAAAAAGAGTTCTGTGCCTAGTGACTCGTCAGTACCAAAACCTAATACAATTGTCATCTCTACCGATTCTGGATCATCTCAAGGTTTTAATAAAAAGATGTTAGAAATATTAAAAAGCCATCCAGACTCGCCCGAACAAAGTAGTGGACCTGATAAAATATCATCAATAGCTTCTAAGCTTGCAGAAGCTAATGAACCTCATATGGTCACGTCGTCTGTTTCAATCGCACCCATAAAAGCTGCTAAAGTGGCCGAAGTAGTTACAATTAGCAGCGAGAGCGATGAAGTAGAACCTGAACGACCTCAAAGTTCGGATGATGATTGCATATTGATATCCGGAGATGAAGAAGAAGAAGAATTGCCAGATGACGATGCTAACAATAGTGGTATGCACACTAATGATGCATACAATCAACCCGATGAATATGGACGAGTTTTGGTGAATGTCGGTCATCCTGATAACGAACCCGATGTTTTCTTAGCCCCACAAATAGCTCGTGTCATAAAACCTCATCAAGTCGGAGGCGTAAGATTCTTGTACGATAACGTAGTTGAATCTCTTGAAAGGTTTAAATCATCGGCTGGTTTTGGATGTATCCTAGCCCATTCGATGGGATTAGGCAAAACACTTCAGGTATTTTTTCACCTTTTAAAATGTGCTTGTGTTCACAGTAATATTAAAATTGACAAGTTTTTTTATTTTCAGGTCGTTTCCTTTTGTGATGTTTTTTTAAGGCACACTCCGGCAAAACATGTTCTATGTATTATGCCTATTAATACGTTACAAAATTGGTTGGCCGAATTCAATATGTGGCTACCCTTACCTGACGAAACAAAAAATTCGCCCTCTGAAAATGTGGTAAAAAAAGAGGAAGTCATCCATAGGTCGTTCCCACTGTTTGTGCTAAACGATTTTCATAAAACAATATCGGCAAGAGGAAAAGTCATTCAAAGTTGGCAGAATGAAGGCGGCGTACTACTTATGGGCTACGAACTCTATAGACAATTGACTTCGAGAAAACCGAGGAAAAAGAGAAACAAAAAACAGATGGACGACGATTTTTTTGATGAAAAAAACAAACCTTTACTCGACGGTAAATAAATAATTTTTTATTTTCAACATTAATAATGTTAATGTTATTTTTATAATTTTTTTTTTTTTTTTAATTGAAGAAATGAGAGAAGCATTGGTGAAACCGGGTCCCGATTTAGTGATATGTGACGAGGGTCACCGGATAAAAAACAGTCATGCTTCAACTTCGCAATCGCTTAAGGAAATCGAAAGTCGTCGACGTATCGTTTTGACTGGATACCCGCTGCAGAACAACCTACTAGAATATTGGTGTATGGTAGATTTTGTTCGTCCAAACTATTTAGGAACGAAAACCGAATTCAGTAATATGTTTGAGAGGCCGATCCAGAATGGTCAGTGTATCGATAGTACGCCTCAAGATATACGATTGATGAGATACAGAGCACACGTTTTGCATTCCCTTTTGGAAGGTTTTGTTCAAAGAAGAAGTCATTCTGTTCTCGAGAAAACGTTGCCTCAAAAAGAGGAATATGTTCTGCTCGTACGCTTAACACCTCTGCAACGACTATTGTATGATCGTTTCATGAACGAAGTTGTCAGGAAAAAAGCTGTTCCCAATCCGTTAAAAGCGTTTGCTGTATGCTGTAAAGTGAGTACCATTATTGAACTGTGACCGATACAAGTTTAATAATTGTATTCTGTTTGTACACTTAGATTTGGAATCATCCCGACATCCTCTACTTTTTCCTGAAGAAACGATCATTGGACGAAGCCGAAATCGATTTAGATCTCGAAGAAGCCGGTACACCTCTGGGAACTCCTTTAGGACCTACTCCGGTTACGTCTCCTTCTGCCGCTTCAAAAAGATCTAGAAATCGGTGGCCCAAAGGTGGAGGAGTGAATCCAAATTCCAAAGAGTTAAAGGCCAATTCTAATCGAAAGGTAGTAGGAGGTTTTTATATTCAAAATTTGCTTCAATTAATGTATCACACGTATTTAGCCAAATAATATCTGTTATGAACAAGTGAAAAACTAAACTAGTAATTTGATTATGGTGTTAAATCACTCTACCAGATTAATAAATCATTTGTGTAAAAAGATCTGTTTAGATGAAATATTTACAGATTTTTTCTGACTCGCTTCAACAAAAATATAAATTTTTTTTCAATTGTTATTGATGTATAATTTTATATATTTTTTTCCCCATATAGAATTTAAACAAAGACTTAAGGATACCAGCCGTAGCGACAGTAATGCCAAACACGAGTAGCAATCAAACAATCTCCCCGACAATTCAAAATCGTAATTCTTCTTCAGTTCCTGCTCATTCAGTACAACCGAATAATCAGTTCGACGAATATTCATCTCAATCTCAACCTCAATACGGAATCACAGATGATTTTCCCAACCAAAATTTTAATAGTTATAATAATCAAAACTCGTTTTGGAAAGAAGGAGGAGGGGGCGACTTCTTTAGAGGTAACCCGGAGTATTACCAACAAGGTCGTGGTTCAGATAAAAAACCACAATATCAATATCCCCAAGATCCTACGCTCGAAGAAGGCGAAATTCGATTAGACAAGAATGAATCTGGTTATCAGACGTACGAAGACAACAACTTTAGAGCAACTAATGATCAGGGTCTTTATCAAAATCAAACGTTCAACCAAGACACATCTCATAGTCGACAACCTGAACTACGCGTACAGAACCAAGGATTTTCACAAGACATGCATAAGATGAATCAAAGTCGGTTTTTGAATCAAACAGCAAATAACGAAACAACGTCGTCTTTCCAAGGAGTACATCAGAGGTTTCCGACGATGCAGCCGAGCAACGCCGCCGCCGCCGATCAAACGTTAAAAACCAAAGGTAAAAGCGTACGTAGTCGTAAACCCTCGACTAACAAGCGCGTTCCGAAAAACCAAACAATACAGGTGATGACTGAATCTGGAAATTCCATCGAAAACAACTGTGGAGATAATATGAATAATTTAGGAAATCAGCAAATGTTTTCAAACGCCAAAGAACCGTTTAGGCAAGAATTTCAGAGCCAAGACGGCGGCAGTCGTTCCAACAACAATTTAGGTTTATTAATTAATAATCAAAACGTCACGACCGGTCCGTCTATTCCTTTAGCGACTAATAATTGTGATGCAAAATTCAAAGCTTCTCATAGTTCGTTAGATAGTAATAATAAAGGAATATATGAAAGCAATTTAGTCAAACAAGTGAACAACGAAGTTTCTAGTTTTGGTAGTTTATTCGACGGTAACAATCAAATGTTGTCGAACCGTCAAGAAACAAACAGGAATAACCAGAGCGTTCAAAACAACACCATGCAATCGAACATGAACGGTCAAGATATGAATAACGTAAATAACAGCAATCAGTTAGGTGCACAAAACCTGATGATGAATCATCAAGCAATTGAAAATTCTAGAATGATTAATAACAGTTCGTTACAAGGAAACTCGGCTGTGGGTAATTCGGGATTGTTATCAATGCACGACCAAAGTGAAATAAATTCGACAAATAGTCAAAACTCTGGTCAGCATCACAATCATCCGATGGGTTTATCGCACGATCAAGAGATGATGATGAGCCATCATAATATTTCATTTGAACAAAAATTCATTAACACTCAGCAGCAACAACAACAACAACAACAACAAGATAAGCAACTCCAGTACCAAAATTCCGAGAATTCATTATTAAATCATGAGACAACGTTGCCAGTTAACGAAAGATTTATGAATTCGTCAAATTCGAGCCATAACTACAACAATTTCAATATTTTAGAATCTAATCAGAATCACAATTATGGAAACATGTTACCCGATCAACAGTTTCAGAGTCAAAATATTTTGAGCGATCAAATGTTGCACGATCAAGAAATGTTACTGGCAAACGATCAGGCCATGTTGAGCGTTCTTAATTCTACGACCGACGCTAACGAACAAGCATTGTTATATAACGCCATGGTTGGTCAATCTGATGGACAGAGTCTGCTTGGTCTATTGGATGCTCCCAATATAATGAACGATCAAATTAATGATTATCAGCAACCTGTTTATGGCCCGTTGCCGCCAAACGTCAAACCCGGCTTACCCGGAGGCATGAAAAATGATCCTGAAAACAATCAATATTACAGGGATCCAAAACTACCACTTAACGTCGGAAGAGGAGTGACCATAATGCCGTTGGGCCAAAGCTCAAACGACGTTAAAATGTATCCAGATCAAAATCGTTATAATATTCCAAAAACACCGGATACGTCTTATCAACGATACACTAATTATTCACCCATGTATCCGTACGCTTCGAGTTCAAGCACTCCGTTGGGTAGCATATCGGACATATTGGACAATATTCCCGGGCCGGAGCGTTCCTACCAGCCCGCAGATCGTAAAATTACGGCCCCTTGCACAGTGACAAGCCAAGACGTCAATAATCCTTTGCCCCCTTTTCATTCACTGGACAACAAACCCAAGTACGATTACAGTGAAAGCAGTTCAAATGTGGACATAGATCAATCTAAAGACGAACACATTCCTTCATTTTCCATGGACAACAAAGAAGGAAAATCTTCAGAAGACAGCACAGAACCCCCAAGAGTACCAACATTGTTGGAAGAAGGAGAGATAAGAAATCCTTCTTTAATAATGAAAAGTGGCAAGGAAGAACCCGGAATACCTTACGATTGGGTAAATTTATATTTATTACATAAACGTCTTTTACGCAAGCTAAGTTGTTTACGTTTTTTCCTACGAAAACATACTTTTTTTTTTTTTACATATTAGTTTTTTTAACACGGAAATGTGTTAGAGTTTTCTAAAGTGGTGTAAATATTTAGTATTACTATTTATCAAAAAATGTAAAATTGTTATTTTCTCTTTCAGGCCGTTGAGCTCTTCAAAGATTACATACCTGGAATGATTGAAGCATCGGCTAAAATGTCATTATTGTTTGCAATCGTTGAAGAATCCATTAAAATCGGAGACCGCGTTTTATTGTTTAGCCAATCGTTGTTTACGTTGGATTTGATTGAAGAATTTTTACAACGTAACAAAATTCCAGGAACAGATGAAAACTGGTGTAGAAATTGTGATTACTATCGTATGTATTCAGTTTTTTTCTCTTTTTAAACTATTTTTTTTTTTTTTTTTTATCAATTTATTACTTGTATTTAGGTCTTGACGGAAGCACTTCTGCGTCCGAACGTGAAAAATTGATAAACGACTTTAACAGATGTACTACTGTCCATTTGTTTTTGGTATCAACTCGAGCGGGCTCATTAGGTATCAATCTTGTTGGAGCAAACAGAGTTATAGTTTTTGACGCATCGTGGAACCCATGTCATGATACACAAGCCGTCTGTCGAGTGTATCGTTATGGCCAGAAGAAACCCTGCTATGTATACCGACTCGTGACGGATAACTGTTTAGAAAAGAAAATTTACGACAGACAAATTAACAAGCAAGTAATGGCCGACCGTGTTGTCGATGAATGCAATCCAGATGCTCATTTATCCATTAAAGAAGTAACTAATTTGTGTTGGGACGACGGAGAGTCAAAACCGACCAAGGACTTTTCATCGCTCAAAGACAATTATGATGATGTAGTGATCAAATATATTGTTGAAAATCTCAGCTCTGTTCTCACAAAGGTGCTTGATAATATTAATTTTTTAATAACATATTTTATATTTTGGCCAAGTGTCTAAATATTTGTTGTAGAATTTCAACATTTTTAATATGGAATTTGTTTTCTCAGGAACCATTTCAACACGAGTCGTTATTTGTGGACCGAAAAGATAAAAAACTATCTCAGGCTGAAAAAAGACTGGCCAAGAGAAGTTATGAAATGGAGAAAAAAGCAAATAGCCGACCAATGTATTCTTACTACGGCCAAAATACAAATTCATCATTATACAGGTAATTATAATAATTTCAACAATTATAAGATGTAATCACTTTCAAATAGATGCTTCAGTGTCAAACTGTGTAGATGATAAAACTATTAAATAGCAAATCGTTTTTTTTTTTACAATAAATGTGCCAATAATAGTTTTTTATTTATTTTCAAAACAAATTTACTAAATACAAAAGCGTTTTTGCAGATTTTTTGAAATTAAAAAAAAAAAAGTAAATATCAGGTTACAGTAAATATAAAGTTTTCTTCATGATTTATTATAAAATCAATAACTTCTCAGTTCCGCATCGAAGCTTAAACGCCAATAACTAATTTTAATGGTATAATCATGTTTTGCTTGGGCTAGAAATCAAATGGGCAAACCTATGGCCAGCGTACGTCCCATGCAATCTATGTCCAACACGTCTGCAATGATGGCCAGTAGAAACGCTTTGAACCGAAGGTGGATTCCGGCCGAAGTTTGGCAGAAACAAGGAATGACTGCTCAAGAAATGACATTACCATTGGGTAATTATAATAATTATAATTTGGTACTGTTCATATAGTTCTAGATATGAAATTTCGTTTTGTTTTTACCTAGATGTGGTAATTCCGACAAATGCTGGCGATAGAGGATCGATTGTTTTAAAAGCCGGACAAAAAGTCATGGTACTGAAAAGCCCCAAAGGTATTTACATGCAATTGGAATCTGGAAAAATCATCGCTATCCGAACGTCGGGCAACAATAAACCTAACAGCCCTGCTCTTCCCGGCCAATCCTTTTCACAACCACAACCATCCGCCACTCAACAACAAACGCCCACGGTGCCGCCTTACATAGTTAGGTCTCATTCACTTGACAGTAGTTACAACGCGGCTAGCAAAAACGGTAAGTGATTCGAAACTAACCACAGTACTTTGTACTTTTTCTTAAATTTAACATTATGTTATTCACTTTCAGACCATTCCGTTCAGCAATTGAGGAACCGGTCGACCCTGTTGAGAAACAACCCTAGTATATCGATAACGCCAAAACATACGACGCCATTGCCGAGGCCCGTACAACAACCTCCTTACATGGCCGCTAATTCGCATCATGTACCATCGGGATCGTCTTCAATGTCGTCTATGCAACAGCAACAACCAAAATTGCCTTCTTCGATAACAGTCACAAAGTACGATCCGTTTTCCAACGTTCAGAAACCGTCCGAAATAGTAGGCATGCAATCCGAATCGGCTGGATCGAGTTACAACCCAAGACAACCATCTGAGTATCCTAGTAGGCCGATCGATCGGTACGCACCGAACAATAGAGTTGGCTACGCCTCGTCTGGTAGGTTACCTTTGCCCACGTACCCGACAAATAATTATCCACCGCAACATCCGTCGGCCCCACCCTATCACCGACCTCCATAATTTCAATTATTATAGTTAAGAACAAAACTATGTATATTTATCGTGTTATGACTTAAATTGTACATTTTGAGAAAAAAAAATGTAATTAAATCTCACCTTATGTAATTTGGTGTAAACGTCGTCTCTTATTAAATTTTATCGGTTTTTTTTTTTAACTGAAAAAATCTTGAGATAAACATGTCAGTATTTCACAATAGTTTTAAAAAAAAAATACTACTATCAAGCTTTATAACTTGCATGTTCCTGTGTCTATTTGAAATTACAATATATATATATATATATATATATATTATATACTTTATTTGAAGTTAGTTTTAATTATTATTAATTGAATTGATTTATTATTAATCAGTGTGAATAGCAGTTATTAGCAGTAATAATAATAATTGACGATAGACTTATTAATTAAATATTTGAAATATGTTTATATTATAATTGTTTAGCTCATGTTTGTTGACATTGTTATATATAATTTTTTTTTATATCCATCGATAAGTTTTTTTCAACGAAAATGAACGATGTAATACGTTTTTCTTTAATTTATATATTTATATTAACTCGCTGTGAGTGCGTAATTTTTAGCTATGATAAATTTATTTAGTTGTATACGTATAATTAATGTGTGTCAAAAACAAACAAAAAAATAAGAATAATAATAACTAAATAAAAATCTAAATAAACAAATAATTTGTTTAAGCATCAAAATGTATTTTTGTCGACTTACTGGTGGTTACAACGAGATGTTCGCAATTTAAATGAAAACTTACAAATCGCTACATATTACAAAAGCCAACTTATTTCTATGACGTTGAAAATCGTAATAATTATTAAAAACTAAACGATTTGTCTTTAATAAAATAACAGAAAAAAAATTTAACAATTTTTTGTTTTAAAACAACCCAACTTTATTACACAAAAACAACACCACAAAAAAAACTGGAAAAATAACTAAAACGTGTATAAAAAAAAAAGTTGAGTATTTTTAAATGCTCTATATATATATTTAAAAAAACAGTCACTTATATGTAATTTTTATATTAGTAGACTATAAAGTGTTAATGGAACATTTTGTTTTTTAGAATAGAAGTAAAAATAAAAAAATCTCTTTTTCAAAGCTTCTCTTTTTATTAACGACAGTTACAAGTACATAGCCCCTAAATAAGGTATTGAACATTGGTCGAATTCTAAACAATACAGATTTATTTCGCTAGTAATAATATTTTGTTAAAAATTTGTACACCGCATCATCAAGATCGATCTAAAATAATGTTTTCACTACACTTTAAAAACCGTTTTAGTTGTACGCAATATTATATTTGACTATATTATGTTACTTTTTAAAACTATATTATATAGTAATCCATTTCTACCGCAATAAAAATGGTGTAAGCAAAAATAAACACATACATTTAGTTTCTTTACAAAAGTGAATTTGTATAATAATAAGCAAAAAATTAAAAAAAAACAACGTAATAATATATAGGCAGTGGGAGGGAATAAAATTCAAGTAGTAAGTCATGAAGTCTGTTATAAATAATACACAATTTTGTTTTTTGTTGAACGTCAATTACACGTCTGGTAACGCATACCTAAACTACCGACCAAGACATCAAAATATCATCATAGTAAATACTAACTTAAAATTAATAATAATACTAAAATTAGTGTGCAATATCATGTTGCTATATAATAATATTAACCTTTGGTTTAGTTATAGGAGTCGTGTATGGAACTTAAAAATCTCGACAGTTTAAAAAACACCTTCCATGAAGGAGGCGTCGAAATGTAAAATCAACAAACGCATAAATGCCATTTCTTTGCGAGCGTTGTCGAATATGACGCGAGGGTCGATGGACGTGCAACGCAGACAATTGGGTGCCATCACCATGGCCAGGTTGTTGGCGTCCATTTTGGTAATCTGAACGATTTCGGGTTTGGTGAACAGTTGCAGAAAATGAATGAGGTACGACAGGACCAATTTGTTAATGGGAGGCAATCGATGAACGATCGTTATGGCACGGCGGGCGTCTTGATGGGCCGCGATGCATTCTGCGTACATGTGGTCGGGCACCAGTGGTTCGTACAGCTCGCGATACCAAAGTTTCAACAACGACGCCGGCGTATGGGCGTCGGTCAATTCCTCGGGACCGGGCACGTCCCAAACGTCTAGGCGGCTCTTCAATGACATTACCTCGTCCATGTCGGCCGGAACTCTAAAAACCAAAGAGTCAATATTAGAGTGGGCAAAGTTTAGATAAGATAAAAGATAATTTGACAAATTAATTATCAACAAAAAATATACCTAGATCATTTTTTATTCGTGAATAACAAGTTAACTATTTTGCAGTTAATATCATCCAAACATAATTTTGTTGACACAACAGATAATTTATAATAATAAAATAAAATGAAAGTCAATTATTTATATTTTATCACTTAATATATATATAAAAATAAATGATAAACATTATTCAAATTAGTCCAGTCAAGCTATTTTTGTAACGTAGAGCTATTTTACTGTACTCATAACATCACTGGCGTAGTATTACGCCTACAAAAAAGTAACAGTGTGTTACTGTAACACATTTATTTTCATTACGTTACCACCCAAAGACTGTCAAATTCATACGGTTAAATTTACCTGAATATTCCTTCAGTTTGATCGCCTCGAAGCCTCAATACTAAATCAGAGAGCGTAGTTTGTACCCACGGTAATTTGTGATGTGGAAAACGTTCTTTCTGAAGATCGATGACTTCATTGATGGTATTCCCAAACAGACTGGGTCTAAATATTTGCATCTAATTGAAATTCAAACGTTAATTAGTATGTCTCATCCATTTATTTCATCTTTTTTTACGTTACTGGACAATAAGTGAAAACGACTTACTCTTGCTTGTTCGATATCTTCGAGAGTAGGTCGTCGAACCGCTTTTTTGCCATCCACGCCCATTCTGTGTAACCTTTTGGTCGCTACGCTGGCGTAATGGCTAACTTGTACGTGCACTGGCCACCGACCGACTTCTGTGGAATAACTGTCCAGACCGGGGTCGCGATGTCGTTCCATGTAACTTTCCAAATACTTTTGCAGTTTCGGAGAAGGCGGGAAAAACGACAAACAGATGGCCAACAGTTCCCAGCCACGACGTAAACTTTCTCTGCAACAACAAATTGTACTTGATACAATACAGATTTAATGTATTATTGTTTTGATTAGATTTGTGTCCACTTACTTTCTGGGATTCTCAGTTGTCTGTCTACATATTTGTATGTATAGTTCGTCCCTTAGAGTCGGTTTCATAAAACCGGTCATACATATTTCTAGTGCTACACTATTTAACGTCATGCCCAATTTGGCTTTACGATCGCTCATGTAGGTCTGAACTAGTTTGAACAGATCGCAAGCTTCCTTTTTCAACGCTTTGTCCGACAGCACTAACATTGGCTTACGAATCGGATCCTGTGAACGAACAGTCATTAATAACATTGAACAAAACTAATCGACTACGACTCTAACGTACCTTCGACCAAGAAAGCATGTCCCTGACGGAAAACTTCTTGCGGAATATACCTTTCTTGTGTATGTTCAAGTTGTCCTGGGCATATTTTTCAATGTCGCTTTCCGACGTAGTTTTTTTGTCTCGACTCAACAACGATCGGGACGCCTATTTGCAAAATTATTGTCAATAAAATAAAGTAGAAAACACACAGTACGGTAGTAAGTCAAAAAGCATTTACAAAACACTAATCTAATCAAATAGCGTCAATTGTCAAAAAGCTTAGGTAAATTAATTTAAACCTGTTGGTAGTAATAGCCAGGCAATCGCGTTCGAACGTCTTGAACTAAAGATGGGTGTAATACTGTGCGATTGGTGTTGGCGTAGCGAGCCAATAAAAACTAAAAGCACACACAAAAAAAAAAAAAAAATAGCATATCATGCGGAAAAAAATATATAAAATGTTCGATTCATAATAAATAGCTTCGGAATAAAATCGATGGGCGTCACTTAAGAACATACAATCTGTAATTTTTTTTTATAATATAATTTTATAAAAATATATTTAAAATAATATTATCGTGTTTATCGAGTTACCTTTGGAGATAACTACTAAGTACAATACTACCCCGAAAGTCAAATTAAATAACTTTAAATAAAAGTAGATAGAATTGTATTTAGCATTTTTAGATTTTATAGTGATTTTTAAATTAAATTAAATTCATTTTTAGTACATCAAAATACATATTACTATAACTTTACCCCAAATTAACCATTCTATTCTTTCTACTTAGACTTTTAAAAATAAATCTTTTATATTAAATAATTTACTAGTCGATTATTTATGACTAAGTTATTTATTTGTTCGATCAAACAATTTATTTATCATTAATTGTTTGTTTGAATGTCTAATTTTTTGAAAATTTCATTCACTTACGAAAACTGTATGCTATGCATAGTATGGGTGAAGCGTAGAAATCTGATCAATATCTCTCAACCTGAGACGTTGATTAATTTTTTGAATTAAAGAAGTGCTTTTGATTACATTTATAAATAATAAATAACATTTTACATTATTAAGATAAAGAAAAATTATTTATTATTATATTTTAATTTTGCCCAACATTAGTGGAAATCCAAATAACAATCCTTTTAGCGTTACATGCTTTTTTTTTTTTGACCAATTCTTGTAAGCCAATTTCAGATAAACATAAGCAACAAGACAATTTAGTCTGTCACTCTACGCATGCATGACAACTTAACGTTTGCACTTATTCGGAACACACAAAATGAATCAGAGCAGCCAAACAAGTCACTCGAAAATTAGTCATACAATTCATTCGTCTGTTTCGTTTTGTTTTGTCATTAAGCACTTGGGATATTACTTAATTAATTTAAAACATTTAACAAAATAGTTTATGTACATTTAGACATGCATAATTTCTCATCCGAGTTGGCAATAACCCGTTTTTTGGGTACACAAAAAACCCATGTTTTTTAGGTTTCGTGTTATTTGGCCACCTCGTTTTGCTCATTTCGTACGTAGTAAAAAAAAAAAAAATAGAAATAATAAAATCTGATACAAAGGTAGAATTATCATAAATATACATGTACATACTTCGTTTCTTTCCATTATCGGAGAATATAAAGCCGCAGAGGGCTGGACGTGTTGGTCTTTTCGTCTTCTTAGCGACGTATGCTGAGTTTCTAACGGAAGTGTCGGGGCCGAACTACAAAAAGGATCTAAAATCCAAAATATTGCGTGATGATTATATTTTAATGTCAATTTGGAGTCGCACCATCGTCTTACCTGGTATAGATGGTGTGACTAGATTTGCAGATCTTTGGGACGCCAAAGTATTAGTAACCGTATTGTAATAGTGTTGGTTGTTACTTGCAGTTTCCACTACGTAATCGCATACACGACCGTCTAAGTAACAATTGTTCAGTTTTAAATTTTATTTATTTTTCAAAAACAAAATTTATTATTTACCATTAGTGTAACTCCGCGGTTGAGAGATTCGCATTGCAGTCAAATGATCGTAATCCAATTCGTCTCTCAGATAATGTCTGGAAGACGTATTCGAGGGCGATGGCGAACTAGACTGTTCCCCCTGACTGATCGCGCCCTCGTCGTCCGCGAACTCGTCGCTGTCATATCCAGTAGCCGTACCCATCACGCCAATTAGATCTTCAATTTCGGCATCTTCCTCTTCAGAACCTAAAATTGGCAATATGAAAACAACTGGTAATGGATGATATAATATAGTGTACAATTAACTCCAACATGAAGCGTTTCATTTGTTAAAAATATGTTATTTGAGTATTATTTCCAAGAAAAAATAATTGTCATAATATCATTTATTTGGTTTAAAACAAATTTCAGATTATTTTTTTTGATTTTTTTTAAATAAAAAAATATTTGTAAACATGCCAAATAAACAAAACAAATTATATAGTGGAGACTTAATGGAAAAAAAAATCTAAATAATTGCAACCAAAAGAACTGCTGATTGTACAAAACGTATACGATAATTTACAAATAAGCAATTTTGTTTTTTTATAAATAATATTACTTGTATGGAAAACTTCAAGAGACTATAGTTATTGAGTTTGTAGTAAACTTTAAATTTACCACCCACCTGATAATTTTCTTTGTTCTAAAATATATTGATGAAGTGGTAGAATTCTTCCTTCGAACATGTCTATATTGCTGTACAGCGGAGCTGGTTTTTTATCTGAAGTGGCCGGACTAATACTTTTCCTTACAGCTCCACCGCGTTGACTAGATGAGCTAGAGTGATTCGACACAGGTCTGGTTTTCGGATCTGGTAAAACAGCAATTAAAAATAATAAAACCAGCGATACAGTGGAGTCCGGGTTTAGTGGGGGTGGAACATATTGGGATTGAAGAGGTCTTTGGGACTTTGTATAACTGAAAGTGATTTTAATCGCCTTAGAGTTACGCATCAAAGTTAAAAGTGCCGGTAATAATTTTAATATTATTGATTTATATTATTTACTCACAGTTATCAATAATTTTGTTCTCGCTTTTATTAAGCCTTTGATCGATTTTACCGGTAGTGGGAGGACTACTGGATACACTGGAACTGGAATTTTGGTCTCTGACAGATTCATCGTCACTACTAGAGAGTCCCGCCTCTTTTGAACTTTTCGACAATTTAGTCGATTGAGTTAATGATGATTTTGAACTTGATTGGCTAGGAGCTACGAGTGGTGGAGGAGGAGCAGCAAAGTTAGCGTACTCCGGAGTTAGAGGAGGGCGAGTTTTGGAGGATGATGTCGGGGATCCCGCGTCAGAATGGGAATGCCATTTTCGCGAGGTCTATAACAAAAATAAAAAAACCATTAATAAGTACTTATGGTGTTAACAGTTTGGAGACCGATTTTACCAGTGGTGTGGATTCTACAGATTTCTTGCCATGTCTTGGCGGCATCCCCATCAGTCCACTGGGTGATAAATATTTCTCGTGCATGGAATCCTCATCATCGGCTTCTAGGGGCGTCTTGACGCCTAATGACTTTTGGGCGAAACTTTGACTACGGGAAATTTGACTGTTAGACAGACTGGAAGACAATATAACAGGGGGACGGGGCCGCGAACAACTGTTGTTGCGGTTGTCATGACCCAGACTGTAGCCACCCCCGATGCTAATGTCAGTGTCGAAACTTTTCTGTTTGCCTAACAACAACTGGTACTGTGAAGCGTTGGAAGAACTACGTTGAATAGGAAGATTCGATTGAGGAGTGGGAGGTTGAGATAGTTTCTTTTTGAACAATGGTGTACTGGCTGACATTGATAAACCGACATTTGCGTCCTTCCCGCTCGAAGACTGAATAGATACGCAACTCGAATCACTCGAACGACCAGAATCCTACATAGAAATATTAAATTTAATTTCCTAATATCATCTTAAACAGTGTAATTGGTTTATAGACACGTGTAAAAACTGACCTGAGAATAAGCTGTACGGTTATACCACATGTTTGGTTGATTACCACGTCGACCACGGGTTGGTGTACTCGCTTGTTGCTGATGTCTAAATACAATTTTTGTTTTGAAAAAATATCTATTTAAAAAAAAAACTATTTTTATATAATATACTTGTTGTTGTTGCTATGATGATGATGGTGATGATGTGATCTACGAGGTGTAAGGGGTGAAGTTTGAGTTTCTGAATCCACAGACCGTTTAGTTGTCGAGACGGGATCCATCATCTTGAAAGTGCGAACGTTTTCAACGTTACCCTGGAACACGGACAATCGAATAAATATAAAAGTAATTTTACGTTTAATATTAATAACGTTACATACCAATTTTTGGTTACTTGAAGATAGCGGTAGAGCCATTCTACTTCGACCCGGCGTCTGAGTCGATACAGACTCTTTTGGATGTTTACGATCATTCTCATCATTCGGTTCGGTATTTTGTTTTAATGTTTGCAATTTTGCCAATGGTATGATATCAGAATTTGGAGGCCGATGCCATACCGTTTTTTGAGAAGCAGCATTATAGTAATAAAAACGATTGGTTACCGGATCAAATAGCTCCCACCATTGATTGTTGTCAGTTTTTTTGCTATTTAGGAAAATTATATTTATTATCTTATTATCGATGACCATAAAGATAAGAACAGCTATAAAAACCCATAATTTAATTTGAGTTGCACTGATAAATTTTTTTTTTTATAATTTTTCAGCTGTTGACATTAAAATGACATCATATATTGACTATTTTTTAATTAAGGTGCCTCCTGTAACGTCATTACAATTTCAATATTTTATTAATAAAAAAAGAAATTGCACAAAACAATTTTTTCTAAAAAATGCTGAAAAGAAATTAATTAATACCTTTGTATTAGAAAGGAAGATCTAGACGAAATTTGAATTAGTTTCACACCTTAATTATTTTAGTTCTAATTTAAATGTACTAATAATGGTGTATTTTTGACAACAAATGTTGACAGATAAATTGTTAACACGATGCATTTTGTAACTGCACAAAATGCTTTATAATTGTAAAAAAAAAGAAATACAATATTTAAAAATAGTGTTTATACCGACGCTTGAGCTCAAGAGAAACTAATCTAACGAAATCCATCGACATTTATTTAGCAACTCAATTTCATTTTTAAAAAATAAACTTACACGGGCACTCCGATTGGCGCATCCCAAACGCACTCGCCGGTCGTCAAATTAGCGTACATATACTCTTTTGTCTTGGGTTCGATTATCTCGACCCATACCACTCTAAAACATAAAATATTGGATTAAATCGCGTTAACAAAAAAGAAAACCTTTTATTTAGGTTTTATTAGTACAGTGAACAAGCACACACTATAAACACTGCCAATTACAAAAGTTAAACACTTGCCTTTCCGAAGTCATGTTTCTGTTGATTATTTGATGAATTCTCTTTCGAGTAATTCCTATTTCAGACCGACATTGAAGGCATTTTACAAGAAAACGGGCCAAACGCCACCGTGAACTTTGTTTTCACCAAAACATACAAATTATTACTTACAACAGTATTATTCTGCTGATAATGTAATATTATATACATATTACATATACGAATATTAATTATACAGAAAAAATTCGACTACACCATACAGATATAAAGTTTACACTTTATATCTATGGTGCACACCATCTGATTCTGGCAAATGTCACAAACCCCAATGTGCAACCTCTTTGGAAATTGTGAGATTGCGTTGGTGGGAGTTTAAATGAAACGCGCATGCGTCAAGATCTGCTACCCAATGGCTAATTTAAAAAATGAAAAAAAAAAATTAATTGTAATTTAACAACATAATTTGTTATTATGTATAATTTTTTCTCTTCTTTATAGTTCATTAACACCGTAAATACATAATATTATAAGTATACAGAATAATATTATGTGGGCCGTCGTCATCTGGCAACCGCATTTTGCTATGAACGGGTAGCTCGCTCTATTTAATTAAGAAAGAAGTTTGTACCTATTGTTTACAGGGTTGGACAAAATATCAATTACTCTTTTTAGACTTTTGTGTAGTTACTTGCAAGTTACATATTATAAAATAAAAATAAATTTACATCGAATTATAATATAATATGTTTCATTTTAGTCTAATTTTATCAAGAGATTTTGAAATAATTGATAACACATTGTACAACAATGAAATATTGGTACAAGAAGTCAAGAACTTGAATAAATGTATTTTTATTTTTAGGGGGAAGGGGGTTGCGCTGAATTCAAATCTAGCCTAAGAATATTGACCTAGCACGTCTAGTTATTTTTTTAGAATTGTAAGAAAATTGAGAAACTGTTTGAATAATTTTCTATTAGGTTAATTAACTGCAATTTTTTTTTAATTCTTTGCCGTTGATTCGTTTTTATTGGTTTTTGACTATTATAAATTAAATAAATATTTTAATCTTCCCTATTATTTTGGAACTATTTTCGACCTGACGCCATAGAAGTTTAACATGAACAATATGTGGCCTTTTTTATTTCTAGCAATAATAGCCTACGCGAGTATGTACAAAATAATTCATTGATGATAACTGATAAGACATGGCCTGCCACTGACGTTTTTTTATCTGAAAACACTTAAATTCCATAATTTGTTGGTCTTTTTTTCATAACTAGGATCAATTTTTGTTGTTGAAATTAAAATCAGTTTAATTTTGCTATTATAAACGTATCTATATGAAATATAAAGGCTCTCTTCTTGCACTATGCTAGTTATCTTTATTTTATATAATATATAGTATTGCGGTTTGCAATTATTGTTCAAATTATAATTATACATTGATTATTATTACTATTTTATTAATTATTCAAAGCAATTTATTCTTTGTTGGCGTCGACGGCCACAGCAAATTAAAACAACTGGCTAAGTATGTTATATTTAAGCCATTGAATGCAGTAAGGTATAATTGTAAACTGTCTTTGTAGCAACTCGTCACTTGTAAAAGTTGTGCGAATAAAAACTAAGTAAATTATTTGCATCCCCTCCATTTCGGTGTGTGTTACAGTTTTTGTAATTGGTAAAATATAGAACAGCTGTAACTAGTTTTTTGACCCAATTCTGGTTATATTGGCATACTTTTTTTATTTATAGATCAATGTGTATGCCGTATGGTATAATATTATTGTAATCGACACTTGAAAGATGATAACATTACACACAGGCCAGGCGCCAGCCAAAGTTCATAGATTATGCTGGGTGCCAGCAACAATAATCTTTTATTAATAATTCATATTTTTATTTTTATCTAATAAAATGTGTAATAAGATATTATACTTCCTGTTATAATAATGGATAAAATATGAACGCCATCTGCTAGCAAAATGTGCCAAACAACAATGAATGAAGCAATGACGTGGCCAACCATGTTTTGTATAATACTCGTTTGTACAACCTGTACACGCTTAAGAAGTTGGCCAACGTGGAAGTGCTTGATAAAAAAAAAAAATCATTGGCGTTTTTCTCTTTTTTTTCTTCTTTTGCTGCAATAATCAATATTTTATTATACTATATACATTATATTATTATGCGCGTTTCCAAATAATATTTTTTTTTTATTAAATTCCGTTTAGATTGAACGAAATATTATTTGGAAGACTACATGATAATGTTTTTACGTTTCTTTTTGCAAAAGAGAAGTACAATTATTACTATAGCCGTCGGTCGTGGTCGTTGTGTAACCGAACTGGGTCTCTTAGGTATTCGCCATCACAAATATTCCAATTAAGAAAGAAGACCGATAATTTTGCAGTTTACCCTAAGGTAAATAGACTCAAAACAAATATAAAATAAGCAAAACATACCAATTTTGTCTCTTGGCTATAATTATTTACGCATTGTGTGCTTTGGCGCTATCGATCAACAAAAAAAAAACGAGCCTGGTCTACGGGTCGCCAATTATTATTATGTATTATTAATGGTATAATAATGTCGAAATAAAAATAATACTTACTTGTATTCTCTGACAGAGATCAATAACTTCAATCTGTTTTCTTTTATTTAAAACCTTTTTCCCTGGCAAGTTACCTTGTACACATCTACTCGTTTGGGCACGAGCATAGCCGATTACACGACCTTGTGCAAGGTAATCTGGGGTTGTGAAATTTACTCGGGTTTTGACTAAAATATAAATGTTTTTGAGTGTAGGTGTTAGGAATGTACTCGAAATTAAACATAATATCTAGTTATTAGTCTATTTTTATGTATTGGAGTATTGATTGACGCATTACACACCTAAAGGCTATATATTTGTAAGCTATTAGAACGAATGCGATACATCATTTACTAATACACAATATATCCCAGTACGACTGTTGCAGTGTTCAACTCTCCATTATTCGTGTTCAGTCAAGACTCAACGGTTAAAACAAATTTATTTTTTATTTGAATAAAACATACTATCTTAATATATTGTGATATAATAATGTGTTCACTTTATTATATAAAATGTAATGTACTCAATAAAAAAAAAATATATAAAAATGTTATTGTCCTTTTTTTTTTTTTTTTATATATAATAAGATGACTTTTAAAGCGGCATATAAACAAGACACTTAAATTTAGATAATTTCTCTCAAAACGACACTGTTTATAACAAATTAAATGATTATTTAAAAGTAGAAATATTACATTAATAGTCTCGTCGAAAATAAGTTTGATTAAAGAAGTGTTTTTGTATTGTTTGTAAAGAACCAAATTTTGCTGTTTAATGTAAGTCTTTCAATGACATAGTGAAGGTTATCCTGAGGCATACATACAGTAGATACTGGTTTTTTGTGTCAACATGTACAGTCGCACACTTTTGTTTGGTCGCTGGCATGTGATCCTGTAAAATAATTTTTATTGTTTACTACTCATAAAGTCATAAACGCAATACATAATTGAAACATTTCAAGCGCAGTAATTGTTTTTTTAATACAGTCATGATTGTCGACATTAATTTTTATTTACGGTACATGACATAAATGTCTGTTACTGGCTGCCATTTATACAATTGATTTATCTCTTTCTACGTGTTTAGAATAATCATTTTATTTGCAAATGAAAAAAATTACGAGACCTAATTAAATGTTTACAAATTATTAGGGGGATAAGGAAGCAAAACACCTTGATGATTAATTTTGGGTTTTATTTCAAATATATTTTAACTAAAAACTGCAACACACGGCAACCTATTACTAGTTGTAACTTTATATTTAAAAAGTTTTATTAAAATTATAAAATGTAATTTTTTTTTTGGTAAACATTGAAGCTATAAAACCAAAAACAGTATAATAGTTTACTAAGAAATACATTAACAATAGTTTATAACAACAAGGCTCAATAAAATGTAAATATCTGTTGATAAGAATCTGTCTGAGAGTTCTGATGAAATAACACAAGTCGACATTAACAATGTTACATAGATTTTTTTTCTCGGACAGCATATTGGGATTTTAAAGTACAGTGCACGGAATAGTTCTTTTAATGATTGATACCATGAATCTTAATACATTTTTCTGTCTCTTAACGTTTTAGTAATTATTTTCTTACGGGCTTTTCTTATAACGGTGGACGTTAAATTGATGCAATATCTGAGTGACTAAGAATTAGTGTCAATCTATTTTAGTTTCGTGTGGAACTGTGTGAGAAGGTACAGTCTTTATAATTAAGTGTTTTAAAACGACAATTTTCTTCCACTACCTATATGGTTTATAGTTAGAAATTGTTTACCAAAGGCACTTAATTAAAACAAACACTACATTTTTCCGTCTCCAAACCATAAGCCAGCTTTAACAGCAAAATATATTTCAATTTGTTTGACATATTCTTAACTATAACTTTACAAATTAGAGACAAAAACTAAAAAAATAATAAAAAGATCATTTACATAACTTGAGTAAAAAACTTTTCTATTGTTATTTTGGGAATAGTTTATTAATTTAGGGTCTAAAAATCATAATATAGGTACTTTTACCTAATCTAAAAATATTTTTAAAAATGTATACTCAAACTTTGTCTTTTATTTACAGAAAATTTAATGACGCAATAAAAGCACTTACTTTAATACCTTTGCAGTGACTTTAATTGATATTTCTTAAGACCTTCCCTAGTTTACTGTCAAATTAATTAATTACATATAAAAAGTTCAAATAAGTTTGAAAGTAAAGAATTGTAATTGTCGATAAAAACCTTTTAGTTGTTTTTTTTCATAATGCAAATTCTGTACTGATACATGCAATTTTTGGGTTTTCTTTGATACGTTAAGAACAAAAGTTATGACTACACTGTTGAATTATGATAATAAAGACAGCTACATTATCAATTGAAAATCAATTAATAAAAAATAGAATCAAAATTTAATATTTCCAATCCTTTAAATTTAACGTGTAACAGAGAAGGTTCTTCTCAGCACTGAATCTTATTGTTTGTTTTTTGTCTAAACTTTTTAAATCACCAAATATATTTCTTTATATTATACTCAGCTGTAACAAAAGATAACTTGTATTAGGCCAAAAGTGCATTTTTAGGCAGTTTTCTTATTTGAGTTGTTAAAGAAATTAGTAATAACTGATCTAGTAAGGTCTTATGTTATGAATAATATTATAAAACTTGATTAAATCTCAACATTGTCATTATAGACATTTTTATCGATATTATATTTTTTCACAATTTCTTAATAGTAATTTAATCACATTAAGATAAAATATTCCTTGAATCCCGGCGACAATCTTTCTACTCATGAAAACTTAATGTGCTTTTAAGGGGATGTTTATTTTTTTTTAATTGCTTGTTTAGAAAAGCTGCAAATATGCATTTATCAAGGTATGGATTCCTGAATACAGAATTTTGTACTTCAATAATCGTATACTGTTTAATATTAATTTCACATTATACAACCCTAAGTAATGTTACTGAATGTCTGACAGTCAGTTTCAAGTAATCGAACAATAACTATTAATTATGTTAAAATTTTAGACTAGGAAAAGTTGAAGGGTTGATGAGTGAGATTAGAAATAAGTATTATGCATCCTTTCAGTTAACCCTTTTAAATACTATTAGAGAGTTAATGAAAACTAGTCATCATTTTTGTTTTATCAAGCAAAGTTAAAATTGGCAATTGTGCTTTCATCAAACATACTCGCCTCTAGTATACAATATCAAATTAATTTCTAGTCCTTCTGATAACCAATGGTTATTATGGAAGGTTTTCCGAGGAGAGTTAGTAAAGGATTTATATACTTACTTTGTGGATACAAAAGAGCTGAAAGCATAAAGGCTGAAAGTTTGATATAGGTAAAAGGAAAAGAAATCTGGTTTTTGTTAAAATTCCAATAAAAATAATAATTAAAAAACAGCCAAAAAAATCATTCGATATAATATACCGTTACAGAGTTTAAAAAGCTAGGAAATAATTAATAATATTATACAAAAAAGGGTTGTGTCAAATATAAAAAGTAAGAATTTTATAAAAAACAAAAAATTATAAAATAACAACTAAAAAACATTTTTTTTTATTATAATTAAAACTTAACAGAGTTAATAGGTTAACAGAGTTAATAAGAGTTCAGTCGAAGGTAACGATCTGTTTGGTGAATCTTAATAGAATTTTGTCGAAACCCTTTTACCTACCTACCTAAGTCTGTTTCAAATGAAATTTTTTTTAATTAATGTATGCAAATGGGTGAAAAAAAATTCAAATCACCAGTAATAATCAAATGTCGTTGTATCTAACTAAAAAAAAATAATTACCCGTTTAGTCGGCGTACAAACGTTGCTTTTCCGCGCAATGGTATTTTCAGAAGAAAAAAAAAATGTTATTATAATATAGTGGTTTTTTTTTTTTCAATAAAAATTCACAACACATCGACTCCGCTCCGCGCTGGCCAGCAGTTGACTGGTCGGCGATCGGTCGGTAGTCGTCGTCTCCGTTGTTTGGCGTCCGTCGTCGTGTTGCGTCACTTGCGCGTCCCGACGGTGGCGCGCCACACTTTGGTGCGCAATGCGAGCCGTATCACTTGCTCATTGGTTCCCAAAGTGTGGCGACGAATTTCCAATTTTTTTCTCGCTCGTTTGGAATTTCGAATTGTTTTTTTCTCATCCAAAATCTTAACGCTTATAAATTACTCTGCTCCCCCCCCCCCAAAAAAAAATTCCCCAGACCGAAAACCAGCGTGAGAGTATATTGTAATCATTTTACCTTCGTTTTTGTCTTTATCATCCATGAGCGATTTTCGTAAACACGGTTTTTTTTTTTTAGGTTGGGTTCATGATGTAGCAATTGATTTGTGTCGAACGAGAGTAGGTACACAATCCTACGGCCGTTGTCCGAAATTTTCGCAAAAAAATTATCACGATTATATTCTTTAGTGTTGATTGCTGTTATTTTTTTTTAATTTCGAAAATCCGCAATGTTTAACGCGTAATGTGCTGCTAGTCGGACGTGTGACGATTTTATGTGGCCGCGACCATGAGCTTTGGCGAAAATATCTTAAGAAAATACGGGTGGACCCAAGGTAATTAGAATTTTTCCTTAAACACAATAGAAAGCCTGGTGCCAAATGCTGCCTAAAACCGTCGGTTCGTTATTTGTTGTCGCACCCGTTACTGCGGTGTCCGCTGTAGAAATTGCACGGTCAGACAGTCCGGCCTTTGACGTAGGTACGTCTGCTCTATCTGTCATGTCGGTTCCACTTGGGCTGTGTCGCGTTAGGTTCTGTTGCTCTAGAGTAATGTATTACTGTAGATTCGACCAGAGTATACACTGAAAGTTTACAGACAAAACATTATTGATGTATACCATGGTGTTTATCGACAATGTTGAGCGCAACCGAACGACAGCGCTGTTGGTTTCTCGCCGACGCGTCTACGGTACGTTTTGACATGAATTCGTCCATAAAAATACTTTTGTTCTTACTATTAATCCAAAAGTAGGTGTTTGTTTCGGTAACGGATTGAATGAATTTTAATCTTTGACTTCTTTTCTTATCAATCAACGAAATTGATAGGCTGACTTGACCATGTTAACTTGTTATGGACAAACGCACTGTTGTTATGATGCATCTTGTCTGCAAGCATTGAATTTATATACAAGCTATGTATAATATTAAGAAAAAGTTTTCCGTTTAAAGTGTAATATTCTGTCGAGCTTATGAAATGTGATATTTTATTAGGTCACATTGATAAGGAGAGAACTCAATTATTTATTTATTTTTACTTTGTTTTTGGTTTAATTTTTTTGTATAACCGCTGTTTTGTTATAATTAAAATTGTAGTATATATTTTCGCAAAATTTACATTGTGGCGATCGTATTATAACTTATTTTAAGTAGAATTGTTTTAATTCAAAAATTGAGTATTGACTGTTGAAACAAAAACTAAGTACACTATAGAATATAAATACATGACCCCAAACGAGTTATATCTTGCCTAGGTAATATAATATTGTCATCCTAATTCAAAAATTGTCCCAAGTCTATAAATGTGACTTTGGAATTGTTAAATTATTTTGAGATAACAAATTAACACATTGTTAAATTCCATCTCAAATCAGATAATATTTATCACCATTAATAATACATAATAATTTTTTATTAGTTATTTAAGTTGGTCTGAATAAAATATTGCTTGCATATTTGTTCAAATAAAAAATTTTATTTTATTTGAGTATTATTATTTATTACTTAATTATTTTAATTTTAATTAAAAAAAAAAAAAAAACTATTATTTAATTAATGTCAAAGACTGGCTCGAATGTTTTTAGCTCAGGAGTGCATTTTAACTATTTATTTACAATAGTTGTTTACTTGCTTATTTTTCTTATTGTTATCATTATTTTTTGTTGCTTAGCCAATTCTATTCATAGACGGCTATTTCACGTTTGGTCGTTTATTGATAAAACAACTTCTTGATGTACATAAAACATACATAATGGTTAATTCTATGCATTTTAATTTGCATTTATCTTTCATTGTGTTTCCATTGGACTAACATAAAGACTGATTATGTTTAGGGTGGTGAGCGCCATGCATGAAGATCGCTGGTACTTCACAAAAGAACAGCTGGAGAATACGCCCAGCAAACGATTCGGAATCGATGCCGATAAAGAGCTGTCGTACAGACAGTTTGCCGCCAACCTAATCCAAGAAATGGGACAGAGGCTGCACACCACCCAATTATGCATAAACACGGCAATCGTGTACATGCATCGTTTTTACATGTACCACCCGTTCACGCTTTTTCATCGCAACTCAATGGCTACCGCGTGCCTTTTTCTAGCCGCCAAAAACGAAGAACAACCTCGTAAGTTGGAACACGTACTTAAAGTGTCTATCATATGTTTACACAAGCAACAAGGACAAAGTTTGCACAACGTAGATTCAAAGTCCGAAGCTTACCTGGAACAGGTGCAAGACTTGTTGAAAAACGAAGAGACACTGCTGAAAACTTTGGGCTTCGAAACGGCTATCGATCATCCTCACACGCATATCGTCCGGTGTTGTCATTTGGTCAGAGCCAGCAAGGACCTGGCTCAGACAGCGTATTTCATGGCGTCCAACAGTTTACATTTAACTACAATGTGTGTCCAGTACAAACCTACGATCGTGGCGTGCTTTTGTATACACCTAGCGTGTAAATGGTCGAAATGGGAGTTGAAAGACAGTATGGAGGGCAAGCCGTGGTTTTGGTATGTAGACCAAACGGTCACTATCGAATTATTAGAACAGTTGACTACAGAGTTTTTGGCGATATTCGATAAGTGTCCGTCGCGCCTAAAGAAACGGCTAATGGCTACAAACACGATGGATAAAAACGGAGCGTTGGCCAATTACTGTTCGACGCAACAACTGCAGTCGCCCGTACCACAATTACCTTCTAACTACAGGCACCAGAGTCAGTCGCGGATGACCAACAACAGGCCTACACCTTCTAAACCTCCTCCTGTAGTTTTCCAACCTCCGACCAGAACAAATGGCGTACCGGCAGATCATAAATTTGCTATGCCCGCGAGACCAGTTGTCAAAGACCAACCGGCAGCGGCGGCGGCGTCAGCACCTCCGATCGTTCCTAGTAAACCCCTTGCTCCAGTCAAACCTAAAATAGAAGTACCAATAGTTTTAAACAATATAAAAACCGAAAACGTCACGCCACAACAAAGACCTAAGCCTATACCCAAGCCTCCCGAACCTGTCGTCATTAAACAAGAAGTGGTCATCAAAACCGAACCTGTACGAAATCCGTACCCCGTTAGTCGGGATAACCATTCCGAAGTGATATCGAGCGTGCTTAAGGAAATGACCAAGCAAAACGATTTAAACATTTTATCTGTGATCAAAACGGAAAGAGAATCTCCGCCAAAAGTAAAAAAGCCATCGATATTCAGTCCAGTTCCCGAGGATGAACCTCAAGACATTAAACCTTTCATTCCCGTTGTCGAACCTGAAATAGTTATTATTAAACCCGAGCCGTTAAGCCCAGAGGTACCTGAACCCGAATTCGACCCCGAGCTGTTGCTGAATCCTGTTTGTCACACGAGCGCGGATGAAACGGTGGACGGGGATCAGAGTAGTTTAAATACACATAAAAAGAAGAAGAAAAAACACAAAGAGGAAAAACGGGAGAAAAAGAAACACAAAAAGGATAAGAAACACAGAGACGGCGATCATCACAAACACAAACATAAAGACAAACACAAAGAGCCCGAACCGATCAGAATAACCATACCAAAAGAAAAAATTAAACAAATCCCACCCGTCGTAATAACCACACCACATTCACCGCCTAGAGGTATTAAATTGAAAATAGCCAAGGAACGAATCGGAGGGAGCGGTTCCGGATCGGGGAGTAGTTTGCGCATAAAAATCAGTAAAGACGACCGAGGAATGAAGAGGGAACACAGTCCCGGCGAAATCACTCCCAAGAAAGTCCGGAAGGAGCAACAAAGGGATTCCGATTCCGGACTGGGTCATAGTCAGAGTTAGTATTTAACGTTGTGAAACCGTAGTCGAAACAATATTAAAATGTTTTGTTTATTAATTAATTTACCCGGAAGCATTTAAATAAGCAATTTAAATTTGTTTAATCGTTTTTGTTTTTATTTCAAATGTTTTGAATCGTAAATTTCAAAAAACAAAAACAAAAAAGTGGGGGAAAAAAATGTATTTTTCAATAACCATCTTTTTTTCAGTAGATTGTTTCGACTACTGGTGCGTGTCGATGTGCAATACAAATGCTCTTCCCGACACTTTTGTTTTTGTTTCGTTGTTAACAATTTAAAGTGCCTTTCTTTTGTTTTTTTTTTTATTATTATTACTATTATTTTTATGTACATAACAAGTAAAAATAAATAACAAATAATAATAGAACATTATTAACTTAATGAGTAGACCTCCTCCTAGTTATATTATATACATACTCGTACACATAAATATTATAAAACGGCTGAGCATTATTATCCCGCACATCTCAAGCTATCGACTATAATATTGATTTTTGTGATAATCGGCATTGTTGCCACGTACCTATTTGAACCATTGTAAATAATGTAATGTCGACTGAGTTAACAATCATAGAGAAATTATGGTTTTCTTTTAGTATAATTACATAATATTTAAACCGTGTATGTTACAGAGCTCATAATATATATATATATATATATATACACAAATATATATAACTATTTCCTCTCTGCCCGATATTCTCTTTTACCTTATTTTTTTGAAACAGTTCAAGGTGTATAAACTAATTTTATAATTATTGTATATAATTTTTTTTTTTTTTTTATTTGTACTTGGTTATGTAATTATTTTTCAGTATAGTAAAAAAGAATCGTTGTTAAAAAAAAATTTTCAAAATGTTTTCATTTTATTCAATCGTTGTACCAGTATACGCTTGAAGTATACACTATACTTCAAGTAAAATAAACTATTGAGTTTACAAAAATATATACTTAACAAGTATAATATAAACATGGCGATAATAAGTTACGACAAAATAATTAGGTATTTTCAATTGAGTAAAATCATACTTATCGTGTTGCTTGTACAGCACTCAAATATATGCTTATAATAAAATAATATAATGTTACTTAACGAAGAAGCGCTAATCATGTGGAACCGATAGACAGACGAGCAAATGGACACTACTAGGTACAAAAAAAAAAAAATTATCCAGGATTTATTATACTATTCAAACGTGGGCATTATTTATTTAAATAGCAGTTTAATTATTTGAAAATAATCAGTCATTAGAAATGAAATTGTATTTATTGTTTCAGATGATAAATATTTAGTGCGAAAGGTAAATGTAAAAAAACATAAAATTTTCATGAAAAATATTCAAGTGGTATAAATAATTTTTAGTTAAATTTTTTTTTTATTAATAAGTTTAGTTTTTGCTCCATGCATTTTTATTTTTTGCTGAAAATACTACTTGACTCTTTTAGACTTTTATTTAAACCGGATCCCCATTTTTGGAAAATACTGATTAAGCGCTAAAGAATTTATTATATATAATATTTTATTTAATTACATTTTTATTGACTGTTTAAAGTTAAAGTTGTTTTATGACTTTCTGATTGACAAATTTATACGATTTTATTATTTAAATTATCATTAACTTTTATTTTTATTTTTTTATATATAACGTTGAAATTTAAAATTAATTTCAAATTATTTTATAAGTTTTAAATTACATCATTTATTTAAATGCATTTTATTTTTAACAATTATTTTTTGAATTTTTATTTAAATATAATGCTCAGGTTTGATTGTTGTATTATTATTATTATTGTTATTTTAAATAATATTTGATTTATGTTGTGCTACAGGCAAAGGCCTCGGTAAGAACGAAGACGGAATCAAAGCACCGGTCAAACCGAGTCTCAAGTTCGACCAAGCCGGAGTTGGATACGATAAGGCCAATGCAGAGTCGTACGGTGACAAATGGTGGTCACGCATGTACAACGACAGTGCCAGCGCGTTGGATGTTAAAAATGAGGTAAATACACCGTCGGTCCAATATCAGATCACTTGTCTAAAACTTGAATAACTTTAATATGTGAATTTTAGCTTTTCAACAGAAGTGTATTTTTTTTTTTTTGGATTAAAAAAAATCCCCTACACAACACTACATTTGTATTTATCGAATAATAATAACAACGGCTTTTATGATTTCAGGACGGTAACGTTACTATTAAATCAAAAAGGAAAAAAAATAAAAAACAGGTATGTGGAAAAATAATTGAGCACCTAATTTTACAATTGAACTAATCGTGTGTGGTTGACGTTTTTTAGAAAATTAAAATCGCCGACGTCAAGGCTACGTTAGAGTTGACCGACGAACAGCTGTTTCAAGCGTGTGGCGGTGTAACCTGTCACAAGTAAGTGTTGAGAGTTTAATATTTAATTGGAATTTAGTTCAGCATCTTTTTATATATGGTTACAGGGTAATTTTAAGTATATTTATGAACATTTTTGTTGTTGTAATTTAAATTGTTTAAAAACAACTTTCTAACTTTCTTATTTATATATATATTTTTTTTTTTCTGTATATTTTTTTTAAACATAATTATTATGTCCATTTTTAGACTATAGCAGTTTATATATTATGTTTTAACATTGTTGTTTTTTATAGGGCAGCTCGACACGGACTGAATATGGAAGGCAAATTGGCTAGACTACGAAAACAAGACGAAGAGATGGCGGCCAAACAGAAAATTGACAAAAGCTGATAAACCGTTTTCAGTTATTAAAACGACACACGATTCGTTTTACACATTACATTGTTTTAAAAATTAAAAAATCGCTAATGCTATGACGATTTATTCAAGTACGATAAAATAACAAACGTGATCTAGACGATGAAAATTGTTTTTTTTTTAAATAATACAAAGCCTTTGAAAATGTTCCCTTGAGCTTTTATTTCAAACTAATATTTAGATTTAAGTGTTATTATTTATACACAACAAAAGACTACTTTACAGAGTTAAATCCTATCTGAATTGTTCAAAACAATTTTTAGTCTGTATTTCGTCGACATTTCTGGTGTAACGTAAAATTTGAATTTTTATACATAACGTATGTAAAAAAGAAAACATCTCGGACATTCAATAATAATTATTAAAATATTATATTTAAGTATAAAAACTGAAGTAATAGACATAGAAAAAAGCATTTAAGAAAACATATCATAGGTACAGGACGTAGTCATACAGGTCAACAACAATAAATTATTGTCTTATAAAATAATATAATATAGACTATAACACGTATATTGTAACTATATATATATATACACACACAATTGGTTTATTTTAACTTATTTGATTGTTTTTTTTTATATATATATATAAATTTATGTACACACAAATCGAGCTCAACAAAAATTAAGAGCTCTTATACATGTTTACACACAATATTAATTATTAAAAAATTATGGCAATTCTTATCCCCATATACATTGTACAGAGGGGTAGGTACACTTGTATATTAGGGGTGAACATGTTCGTTGTTTATGAGCAAATTCCAATTAGATTACATTGTACACATTTACATGGATTTTATATACATATAGATATTATAATATTATTATTATTAACTAAAATAATATGTTCATAAACGATCAAAGACCGCAAAGGTAGGCAATAATAGTTTGATTAAAACAACAAAACAATATGTTAAGCTAGAAAAAGTAATAAAATAATAATTAACGGGACGTTAAAATATCGGTCTGGGTAAAAATGGCGAAATCGTTTTCAAGCCGAACAATATATAGGAACATTAAAAAAAAAAAAAACAATAACTATTATTGGGTAGGTATATAGCACACAACATGTTTAATTTTTATACAGGTAATGGTTGTAAAACAGAATGTTGTCAAGTGTATTAATTAATGTACAATTTTACATTCCTTGTATGGACATCAAACCAATATTATGAAACGCCCAAAAATACACTTGCTGGCACGGTTTGTGTAATTTTTAAAATAATCAAAGCATCCATATACAAGCTGTACTTATCATTGTCAGCCACTCGACGACGGTGGACCGCGCCAAAGTCTTTTGTTCATATTATTTTGAGAATATTAATACAAAAACAAATCTAATCGCCTAAAAACACATTAGGTATACATGGTATTATTTTCATTTAACCCTTCAGTGCAGTTGTCGTTTGTAGGGGGGGGGGGAGGGCACGGACGGCGATCAGAGACTAGAAACAATAATTATTGTAAAATATTTTCAACCATTTTATTGGCTATCATAGCTCGGTGGTGACTTCCACGTCTTTCCGGTTGAACGTGGACAGCCCGTTGCCGTTTTGCATGGGCCGACCGAACTCTTTCTTCTCCCTGAAAGTCACGTTGTCGTTGGTCGAGCTGACGGCTGCCGCGGGTCCCACGTCGTCCGAATCGTACCCCAGGTTGGTCCGGCCGAAAGTGCTGGTCCGGTTCCTGCCCATGCTCGACGTCCGGGCAGTGGTCGCCGCTTCCGAGCTGACCGGACTGTGACCGTCTAATAAAAAAAAAAGTAGATACCATAATGTATGTTAATGCACAGCTAGAAAAACTGACAGCCAGACACCGGGGCTTATTATCCACACTTACCGATGCTGTCGACGTTCTCTTTGGAGATGTAGCCCACGTTGTCCATGCTGAACGTGTGGTTCTTGCGACTGAAGTCCAACTGCAAATCGTTGTAGCTATCGCTGTCGTCGACGGGCACGCTCATTTGCAACACCTGTGCAATCAAAACGAACGGGGGAATTGGAGATATTTTCGGACGGTTCGGGGTGCAGACAAAAGTGGGTGTGTAGAGCGAGTGAGTTAGTGAACACAGCAAGCCAAGGCGAACAAGTAATAATCTTACCTGTACCTCGTATTCCTTCGAGTTGGGCTCCACGAACACCGGGTCGTACCGCGGCGTCACGTACATTCTCGCCATCCTCTCCTTGTACGATTTGTATCTGATATGCGCAAACGAGCAGCGTTAGATGATGCCGCCGGTGGTAAAAATGGGGTTTTAACGCAATCAAATATTATCTCTCACCTGGTCCACGACACGCAAATGTATATGATACCGGCCACCCCCAGCACCAGGATGAGCGCCGCCATCAGAATCACCATGTACGGGAACACCGTCCACTGGATCGTCACGCCGGCCATATGCGGTCGGCTGCCGGATTGGCTCTGCTGCTGCAGGGGCGGATGGATGTTGGTGGCAACGATCTGCAGCTTGTCGGCAATAGCAGCAGTGATGTTTTTCATCGAGTCTTTGTTCAGAATAGACCTGCGAACCGACAGAGGTCGCCGTAAGATTGACGAAACACACTCCAAGAAAGAAACCACCAACGACTTACCTGCTCACTCTGGTGTTGTTGCGCTCGAGGATCGTTTCGCTGGTCGGGTCGATCAGGTAGAACCAGAAGTCCGACGAACTGGGATCCGTTTCCGTGGTGAGGTTTTCCCGTCGCCTGTACTGTTTGGCCGACACCTTCTCCCGGCCGACCATCAGTTTCAGGATGTCCTCGAACACTTCAATCAGCCTGGATTCGGACGCTTTGACCATGTCCGGACGGGCGCCGTCGATGGCCATCACCAGTCGGTGTTCGTCCCGGATGACGTTGATCTAGAAACGACGAATATACAATACAACCTACCCGTGTACCACCTATCCCGGATGTATCCCCCCTGTACTGTTTTTTGCTGGACTTACGACCACGTGTGCTTGAGCGGTGTTGTAATCGCTGGGGATGGTGGCGCCGGGATTGTCCCGGGCGGTTACCACCAGTCTGAAGGGCAATTTGCGCGGTGCAACGTCGGTCAGTGTCCTTAAGGTGGTGACGATACCCGTCGCTGGATCCACCGAGAAGTAAGGTCCGTCGTTTTGGTCGTGGTCGTCGTCGGCCAGTTCGTATCGCACGTCGCCCAACTTGCCGCCGTCCTGGTCGTCGGCTTTGACTTGCAGCACAAAGCTGCCAACGTCCTTGTCGGCGGCTATGGCGCCGTAGTAGGCGTTTTTGGCAAAGTGCTTGCTGCTCTCCGGGTACACGAACACCGGACTGTTGTCGTTTATGTCGATCACTTGCACGTTCAACTGTGCAGCAACAGAACAGAAAACACGGGCGTTAGAGGTTAACACGAGAAGAAGAACTCTACGCTTACCATGGTTACGCTCTTGGCGGGATTGACGAGCCCGGCCAGAGTGTCCAGCCGGATTTTCAACTGGTAACTGTCGGCGTGCTCGTGGTCGAGCTTGCCGTCTTTCAGGCGCACCTCGCAGTTCTTTTCCGTCGTCACGTTAATCGTGAACGCGCCTTCCGAGTTACCGGACACTATCGTGCAAATCAGAGGCAGTGGTTGCGACGGCCTGGGATGAACCACCGTGAGCACTTTGACCAGCGTGCCGGCCGCGGCGGACTCCAACACGCGAGCCGAATACGAATCGTCGGAAAAACCCATGGCCAATTCCGGCGTGGGCGTTGTAACGCGCCGTACGAATATCGTGACCGGCGTGACCGAGGACAGCTGTGGTTCGCCCAGATCGTATGCCTTGACGTCCACCTAAACGCCCCCACAAGGGTTAGTAAAAATCCGCCGGACAAACGGACTATTTTATGGGAAATCCGTACCTGGTATTCGTTGTCGGGTTCTTTCTGGAGGCTGTCTCGCACGTACAACGCCCCGAGGTCGGGATCGATGTGGAAGTACTTGAGAGCTTTTCCGCGGCCGCTCAGCTCGTATCGCACCTGAACACAACAAGTGTTATACAACGAATTATACAAGTGTTGCTGGTCTTGACCTTTACCTTATTGCCGGGAGACGTTCCGTCCGAATCGGTCGCCGTGAGCGTGACCACTTTGTATCCGACGGCCACGTCGTCGTCTAACGTTATCGGCAACGGAATGGTCGTGAACACCGGAGGGATATCGTTGCGGTCTTCGACGTTTACAATGACTTTGGTGGTGGCGCCGGGCGTTGGGTTGGAGTTCTCCAACGTGCCCACGATTAACGTGTGTTGGCTGTCCTTCTCGTAGTCCAGTCCTCGCAGTGTCCTAACGATGCCCGTCACAGGGTCGATGGTAAACAAATCTGACGGGCCTTGCTTTAAGGTGTACGTCACTCGCTTGGTCGTGTCCGGGTCGTCAGCCTGCGCGAATCGACGGTTTGTTGTCAATGAATAACAAATATTTTTAACGTGTATATACTTACATGGACTTGAGCTACTACAAAGTCGGGCGCGTTCTCCGGCACTTTGCTTTCGTACACGGGCTTATGGAATATCGGCATTTCGTCTTCCACGTCATTGACTTGAACGGTCACCGAAGCAGTACCGATTCGCGGATCGGACGCACCGTCTTTCGCGGTCACTACGAATTTGTATTCCTGAGGAATGAAAAATAATTGTAATTGTCTACGGTGGTATCAAGACGTGTCGAGATCACTCACGTTGTTTTTTTCATAGTCCAGAGCTGCGGCGGTTCGTATGTGCCCCGAATTGGCATCGATCAGGAACGGCAGGTCGTCGGGTATTGAATAATGGATAACGGCATTGAGTCCCTCGTCTCCGTCCACGGCCTCCACCTTACCGACTGCCGCCCCGTCCACTCCTTCGGCCACCGAGAATTCGTAAGGGGCTCCGATAAATTCCGGATTCTTATCGTTGATGTCGCTGACTTTTATGTTTAACGTCGTCGTGCTAGACAGACCGCCTTCGTCTTGGGCTTTGATCAGCTAAACATATAACACAAATCGTACATTGTTATTGAGACACAATCGTGCGTTTTGTTAAATGAAAAACTTACCAGTTGGTAACGCGTGAGTTCTTCGCGATCCAACTTCCTTATGACGCTCACTATTCCAGTCTTCTCGCCGATGGCGAATTGTCTGAGATCGTTGCCGGACAAAATCGAATAAGAAACAGGGTCGTTTTCCGGATCCGCGGCTTTCAGTGGAATCACCGTGGTGTTCATTGGCGACCCCTCGCTGATGGTCACTTCGTACGACGACTGAGAGAACACGGGCGGTTTGGTGTTTGGTCCGGCTATTACAACCACCTCTACGATGCTCTGACTGTACAGACCACCCGAGTCTGTTGCTTGCACTGTAATGCTGTACTGATCGCCGGCCATCATCCGACCGGTGGTTTCGATCCATCCGGTCAGCGGGTCGATGTGGAATTTACTGTGCCCTTGATTGGACACGTGGTAAATGCTGTAGGAAATTTTAGCGTTTTGATCTTCGTCCACGTCCATGGCTTTGATCTATACACCACGATACGATCGTCGGTCAGGTTAAAACACCGCGGAACAAAAAGGTAACACGAGTCAACAGAAGAACATACCTGTACGAGCTGTCTCCTGGAATTCCCCGCTTGAATGGTGATCGGCGTTATCATTGGTATACGAGGTTGATTATCGTTCACATCTCTCAGGAACACCGTCATCGAATACGGAATGCTACCGGCGTGTCCGTTCGTTTCCCTCGCCACGATCTACACACGACAGATATGTGTTAACACAGAAATTTGTGTTACCAATGTGGTGTTACTTGATTTACAACTTACTTGAAAACGATATTTTCCCGGATTTGGCGGATCTCTATCTAGTTTTTCTTCGTTTACGTGTAGGTACCCTTCGGGGTCCACGTTAAACGAATTGGTGGTCAGTTCAAACGTGTAAGTGACCTTTGCGTCGTTGGCGTTCAAATCGTCGTCGGTCACAGTCAGTCGAACGGGATTGCCGTTCTTGTCCAGAACCTTAGTGCCGACCGGTGAATTTTCTTCGACAAATCCGTATCCTTCGTCAGCGGCAGAGCTGTGTATCACCGGAGGGCTGACATCTACGGGTTTCACCTCGATGTACAATTTGGCTGTGGTCGAACGGCGGTTTGGCGATTCTTCTTCAGCCTTAAAACAGTCAACGATAAAATATTAATTACCGACTCCATAACGACAACTGGTGGTCGTTATCTAATCATACCTTGACGATAATCAGGAATTGCTTTGTCAGAGCCGTATCGACAGCTTTGATTTGTTTAACGGTGCCAAATTGAGGATCTATGGTAAAATAATCCGAATAATATGACGGCGTTCCGTTGACGAAAGAATATTTAACCGGGTAATTCAATGAATCCATATCGACGGCTTGCATTTTTTCCGGTCGTATAGTCAGCACTCCAGAGTTGACGCCGCTGGAAACCTAGTATATTAACAGATTCAATCAAATATGAAATAAAAAGCCAGTACAGTGGGTCAGGGTGTAGTGAGGATGGGAGACGGGAAAGGTCACACAGGTCTACATGATTTATTACAACCGAAAGTAAGTGATACAACTACTTTCAAATAAACTCCTCTTCGATGCGCATCTGTAATGGTAGAAATAGAAATATCGATACGAGCATTGTATACCTAATGACAATAATGTGCTTAAAAAATGTATTTTGTGGTATTAGGGCGGATACGATTAAGGTTGATCACACATAGCAATCAAGCATGTATTATGTTTGAAGAATATTCCAATCAAATTTGTTACTACTTTGACTATCGTTAAACAAGTTATAGAGCGCCTTAATTTTAAGTTGAAAGATTTGTACATTTTTTGGGGTGTTTTTCTCTACTTTGAAAGGGAAGGGGTGAACTTTTTAAAAATTTCGGCTCAATAAAGTACCTTTAAATTACGATGTCTGATCTTTATAGAGTTGCTACACGAAGAAATCGGTTCACCGGCTTAGCAGATGTTGTCAAACCAATACCAATCAAGCTAATACTTAAGTATTATGCTAATACTTTATGCCCGTCGTTTGAACTGAAGCGCTGATTAGGTACTCGATTAAAATCTCTGGTAAATTCCAGACGATTCGTTTCCTTTCCACGCGCCTTTATTACATTAGGCCAAAGACCGACGTGTCATGCCATGCGGTTATCAACATATTAGTGCTAGCATATTATAATATCGTCGATTAAGTAGACTTTTTTTTTTTATTCTTTCTTTTAACCATTAACGGCATAAATCGTTTTGACGCTTTCGTCTTACCCGAGATTCCGGTACCGTTACACTAATAGTATGTATTAATAATGATCTGTTGGGCACGCTGACATTCCACGCACGGCGCGAGACATTTTTAACACAATATATATATAATATAATATAGGTACATTATAATATTTATACCGGGTTTGGTTGTAATCAAAGGTAATAAATCAAAGCCGATAAATGCGAACACCGTCGTTGCTCTATTGATCTTCTTCTGTCCTCGCCGCGTGTAGTGAATCGCAGCTCCACTACAAGTGGTGTTCGTATAAATACTATTTTATAAGGCTTGAATGAAACCAGCGGGTGACCGGCAAACCGGTTAAGTATATACTCGCTACGTACACGGGCCTCGAGAACCACAAAATCATAATAATTTATTTAAATGTGATACGGCGAAAAAAAAATGAATGGAAACGGTCGGGGAATTCTTTCTTAATTTCAGACCGGATTGCCTATTAACATAGGATATTCTTTTGCGATGACTGATTTACCGGAAAAAGCGTCAAGAAATTCAAAAATTAAATTAGTGTCAGGTTGGCCTTAGGTGGGGCAATTACCTACCTACATTCATTAACTGGCTTAGTAACTACTACAACATAGCAAAATTACATTATATAGAATTTAAATTTTGGCATTTTAGGTGGAAATTTGAGTTAGAATACAGAGAAAAAATGTTTAAAAAAAATATATTTTTGAAGTCATCAAGTTGCTTTTTATCTAGAATATTGTCAAACACAAAAATAGCATAAATTAATATAAAATGTGACTTATTTGAAGGGGAACAACGACAAAACCAATTCTGCGGATTTTATAAATAACAAGAAACAATAATTGATAGACAGATCTGATTTTTCACTTGTACTATTTAAAAGTAATTAATAAGTATAGCAGCCCACGCTTTCAGCCTGCACCTGAATATATTTATTATACTATACATACACATAGTGTACAAAGTGATCTAACTAACACGAAACTGTCTAAGTATGGTATTTGCGATATTGATCAAAAATTCAAACACAATCAATCACTCATATACACCTAGTATGTAAGCCTAGGGGGCCTAGGTGTAAATTATGTTTGGAGAAGTAATGTGAAAGCGGATTCGTCTATGGTCATTTGTCAAAAACAGTGACAGAAAATTCCACGCCAGAAAATAAATCGTTTAAGGTTCGTTTAAGTTGTAATTGGATTAGTTAGGTTCTTACTATTGCTGCTAAACCCTATGTTATTTGAGACCTGAAATATCAATGGGTGTTGGTGGCAGAGTTAGTACTCACCGTGGTGTGGTATTCCGGGTTGACGCAAACCCCGTCCTGGAGTCTGCATCCTTGGTAGTTGAACGACGGGTCCTGGTCGTCCTCGTCTTTCACCAGAACCGTCAGGGTGGTGGTCGAAGTCAGCCGGTCGTTGGGGTTTTTCGCGCGATCCTGCAACAACAACAAATAGGATTTCCGTGTCACGAACTGCTGCCATTAGGTGTTATCGTCATTTGACGTTATATACAATGTAATAATGGCCCGGCCACGGAGTGTACGGATAGTACAGCGGATAAACACCGACGTGGAAGTCCGTGGATTGACCCGGGACTCCGGGGGGAACGGCCAGCAACCATCCGCAACCGAAAAACACCAAAAACCTGTGAGCCATTCGTACGAAAATAGCAGCAGCAGAGATCTACCTAGATCCGCGGCAAGATCCGCACAGAGCTTTTAATGCACATGCACATGCATACTCGACATACTACACTCGTTGCCGGTAAAACGTGTCCGACTGTTGTTTTGTCACGAATCCGCCATATGTGTTTCACTACATGCGATCGTGTGGTGTGTGTGTGTGTGTGTGTACCTAATTGTTCGGTTGTGCTCGTGCATTTTGGGTGCGAGTAATAACATCCAAATAGCACGACGCAGTCGCACAAACACACACCTTTCGTCGTCGCTCTAATTACATTATATTTTTTGTAACGTTAGCGATATACATATACACAGGTAAGTACTAAAATACCATACAGGGCGTATCAAAAAGTCTACGGCCGATTTGTGAACGATGCCTGCAACAAAGTCAAACGTGTAGACTTGTTCAACTTCACATTCGGAACTCGGGAGAGATTGACTGAGGTGAACCACTACAAGTCAGGATACGGCATTGGCACAACCTCGCGAAAGAAAGTCCCCCGAAAGTTAACGGATTCGAATGTCGGCTTGTTTAAGACGCGAACCACCGCTCGTGTAAGTTAGTTTTTTCGTCTTTGATTTCGAAATAGCACCGATTGTTACTACGCCCTGTATACCAGTAGGTTTGGCGACGCGCGTTTTCATAATATGTTATACATGTACAGAAAACGGCAAAGCACGTACCGACCGACGGGTAATAGTATTTAAATTTTTCTCTTTTCTAACGAGGATAAGAAAAATCGGTCAAGGCACCGTAAATATGTTAAGCTCCCCATACGGCATAGTGTTGGCTGACACAATCCGATTATGTCGCTCTGGAGTCTCGAAAGAGCACCGTCGAGTGTTGTGCAAACGTTTGAATAAAAAACCACGAGTAAATTCGAGAATACAGTAGTATAATAGTGCCATAGTAATTGACGGCGAATAATAGCATTAGCATTGCGGCGCCGGAAGCGTGTAGGACCAAGTCGAGGACGAAGATCAATTGTCAACCGTCGTCAAAGTGGGTAGTGCGAATCGTTTTCAAGACGTTTGAACTCACACTAGAAAATTTAGCGCGATAGCATTTTTTTTTTTTTTTGAAAGAAAAAACTCTTGACTGATCCCCAGACGTTCAACTATTGTCGGACCTGGTATAATTGAATAACCCGCGGTGCTCATTTAAATTCGTTACAGATTATAATCTATGAGAGCGAGTCTTTCGTTCATATCTCGTTGATATCACGGTCGGTGAGCAGACACAACAAATAATCCTCCAGAGGTTGTGCAATACTAGCTAGAATTTAATTGTTATTATTCTCACAGTCCAATTATAATAATACATAATATTATTATTTTATTTGGTGACTACCAAGACGAAAAAGCAATTGAAACCTAACCTGCCAATTATTTAAAAGGTCGACCACCCACATTTTCGAATTACCTTTAATTGTATTTTTTTTATCCTTTATTCACCTTTTTTAGTTGTTGGCCTTCTCTTTTAGTATACAATGCCTAATGCCCACATATCCCCGTTCGATCAAATTTGAAACTAATGTTCTTGTTCGTCCTCTTTTGTCACACAACACATCCAATATGCAACTCCTAAACCACTATGAAGGTGTTGGTTCAGAACGCTATGTAGGGCCGGCTGCGGTCATGTTCGATCCAAGGAAATCAATGGCAGACCCCTCGAAGACCCACGGGTCAAGCACCGCTTATTGGATTATAATTTTAAATCGTACCCAGATTTAGTGAGTCATTCGTGGTTCGCGCCTGTCGGAAATAGCACGGATAAAATATACGGCCACAGTCGTCTCGACGGCTCTACGGTAAAACGCGTAGGATGAGTGTCTGGCAACGTGTGTACACGGTGCGGAAATACAGGGAAGGATTACACACCGGGGGGATACGCCCGTGTGAAAGAGTCAAACAACAACCGGTCCGCAGAAAGGCAAAAAAAACCTGTGTAACTGGAGCGGGTTGCTTAAATTGGACATTTCCACTTCGGCCAAGCCCTGACGTGAGCGGCAATTAAAATCTCTAGAAATTATCTTTATATAACCGCTGTGGCTTCTTAACATTACATTGGAAATTAAAGGTCTCGAGGGTGCTAGCTAATACCCCAGCCGTTACTGCGGTTGATAAATTACAACCAACGAGAATAAAAAGATTTGTTCTAAGCAAATTTCGCATTCGACACGTACCGTAGCTTGGATGGTGACAAAATACTTTTGCACCTTCTCAAAGTCCAATCCCCTTTGCAATATCACTTGACCGGAGTTGGACGATATCATTTTGAAATGTTTAGCGCCATCGCCGACTCCGCCGTTTTGCCGTTCTTCTTCCGGCACTTGGCCGGCGACTATCGCATACTCGACCAGCGCGTTTACTCCAGAGTCCGCATCCTTGGTCTTGACCGATGCCACGGACGTGCCGACGGTGGTCAACTGAAAATATTTCCCTAGATAAATCGTTGTCCATGCAAAATAGATGATAATCACAAGCCAGATATGTTTACCTCGGGTACGGTAACTTGATAGGGCGCGTTCAAAAACTCTGGCGCGTTGTCGTTAATGTCGGCCAACCGAGCGATCACCGGATAACTCCTCTTCCGGCCGCTGGATCTTACCACACACACTACCTATACAAAAATACCGAAGACATTATTGTATATTATATTCTAATAAATTCTATTAATTCAAATTATTCTAAAAGCGTCGTTCGGCGTTACCTGAAAGACGATGTGAGACAAGTTCTCAGCGTCCCTGTCCACGGGCCGGACCAGCTGCAACCGTTTACCGATCAACGTGAACACCGGATTGTCCGAGGAGAAAGTCAAGTTCAGCGATATGTCCGAGTACGGATCGCCAACGATGGGCAGTTCGGACGGTGTGATCGCTTGATTTATTTCTGCAAGCAAATGGATATTATGCAGTTTTATTGGCCACATAACCGCTGAACTCAAATACGCGTTCTATACAATATTGAGTTCAGTGTACACAACACAGCAGCTCGACTAATTGGGTATCATAAGACATAAAACACCCATCATACACGGGGTTCATGAACGCATAAAATCCCGGAGCGGACGTCGTGCGGTTAACGGTGTGTAAATACACCTTTGATAAGGAGCAAAACTCCCAGGACGGCAAAAAACTGTACACGTGTACCTGCCTGCCTGTGCTCTATCATGATCATGCGGCGGTAGTAATGTAATAAAAAAACGCCGATAACAGACGTGTGGATCACACACCCCGAGCCGAGCAATAAAACAGTCGTCCGCACGTTTACAATAGGTATTATAAAATATACAATAATTGTGTGTAATTTAATATTATATCATCCGCGATTGCTACCGAAACACACGATGTTCGTAATTCACAGGAGCTTTCTCTCCTCGAGCCATTAGACACCGCATTGCCCGCATCAAATGCATTTAATGTGTCGGTAGACATAACCGCAAGGGTGGAGAATCCGTGAGAAACGTTTAAACGGCTCGTTGGTTACCATAATCATAATAATAGTAATAATAGTCAGATAGTGATGTTTCCTGGACGAGCAAATCAAACGCGGCGACGGCATAATATCCTTCCGTCGGCGTCTAAACGGTTCAGACGGGTTCATTGATGGGAATGTCATGTCAATTGACACTTGCAATTGCACCTAATAAACGATTATCATCACGAATTCAACAACAAAAATCCATCCGTCATCCAAGGACTCTGACTGAGTGTATGGTTCGGTTGAAGAGACGGTCTTTGGACGTGTCCACAGCTATTCAGAAACTTGAAAATTGTGATCAACGATCAAGACGTTAGCAGCATTAAGATGCATTAGTTCATTAGTTGCATTAGTGCATTAGTTATATCAGGGCGAATATATTTTGACGAGTTGGCAACGTCAGTTAGGCTGGAATAAGTTTATGTACTCTCTCTCTAACTTTTCAACCACCGTCCCACAGGCAGTTGTAAACAATTCACAAAACAAAAATGCAAAGGAAGCGACTAATTTCAATTGAGACTGAGCCACAAATTCGGAGGTGAACGAGATGCGTTCATCAATATTATAATGCATCAATTATTCTCATTATTTCTTGACGTGGTTAATTGGATAATCGACCGGTCTAATGTCGTTTTCATCCCATCTCTGCCTAAATTAGAAACGCCCAAGGACCAAATTTCAATGCTCGGCAGCCTTAATCGACAAAGGGTCGATAAAGCTACATGGAAAACTATAAGGAGATGGTATGCGATAAAAAAAATATAGAACATCAACAACAACAAAACGGTATTTCGGACCAAGGACGCTTAAGCAGCTGGATGACCGAAAGGTACCTACCGAATAGTTCTTGTTCGGCAGCATTGTTTCCATTGTCCTTTCAGGAGAGTACACCTGATCGCCTACAATACACAATAGTAGGTATCTGTGCTGCGATGGCACGCTTAACGTTACATCACACCGCGGGTTACTACAGTTACTACCGTGGGTAAAGATAGGTATATTTTCCTATAAGGTTTACGGTTTCCACTATTTCTATATTGTCGTTGCAGTGACCGACACGTGATGGCGACAATAATAATTACAAGCCGCGACCGTCGCAGGTTCGCACGGTCCGATTTTCCACGATTGTATAATAATAATTTTTTTACTACTAGCTTTTTGTTTTTGTTTTGTGTGTGTGTGTAACATCAGATAAATGACGATTTTCCATGCCGGTGCCGTGGAAAGATATTGCGAGAAAATCACAGAGTAAATGAAATCACAAAAGGACAGTTCCAGTGTAAAAAAAAAAAAAAAGTGGCGGCCATGATTTATACCTGTTTATATCTTATCAGACACTCCGTTAGGCGTAAATGAATTTACAAAATAAATACGTTTTATATTGTAACTGTATAATTATTTAATTGAATATTTGTATTTTCTTATTTTAAAAGTCTACTTAACACATCTAATAAAGCCACTTTTTATGTTTCTTATGAAGTTATGACCCACCACGTCTCTGTGAACATTTTGATTTTCAGTTCTTAATCGATCTATTTGTTCTTAAATCAAAATTTATTAAGTGAGAAAAAATAGAAAAATAGAACGCTATTAATTTTAAAACACTTGTAATAATATTATATAAGTAATATATATTATGCATACATAAAAAATGTTAATATTTTATGTTATAAAGTTGTTATCGTTCACTTATGTCCATTTTTTAAAAATATATAGCATTTTTTTGCGTTATTATTATTAAAAATAAAATGTATCCATTTTATTGTATTTAATTTAAAACAAAAAAAATGTTAAATATAATGCGGATATTATTATATCTTGCAATCATGGCGTCACACGTTTAGAAAATGGCCGCCGCGTGTTAGTGTGATAAGGACGATTTAAGGTAATATGGTTGCCAACGGGTCACTTTATCACCAACGGTTGGGCAACCATATTGTTATCTTAAACCGGGGGGTGATAAGTATGTTTACCGTGTTAATTATTTATCAGTGTCCGGGGGGCTGGGAAATCGTGGAACCTAGCCGGCCAAGACAGAATTGACAACCTCTCGCCGGGATAACGCACAAGAAGACAATAACCCTGAGCTAAGTATAATTTAATAACGGCCCCGGTGAGAATGTTATTATTTTAATAACGCCGCTATAGCAGCCGGCTAGGTTGTGGGATTTCTGGCAAATCTTCACCGCGTTCGCCCACAGCAACAGTTGATCTATTCGCCCGTAGATCATCGCCGGTCGTTCGATCCGTGACCGATCGACACACGTCACGCGGAACAAGAGAACCACGACAAATCGACAATCCGACGCGTTTGAAGATAATAATAATAATGATAAAAAAAAAATAATACACATCCACTTACGAGACCCTCGGCTCTCTTCGATGTCCAACACTATATTTTGCCCCGTAACGGATTCCACGGACCGGTCGCACAGACCTGAAACAACAAATTCAAACGTTATTTCAGTTTACAGTAATTTACATAATACCACAAATTCCAAATAAAACCAGATAGTGCACGTATAATAGATAATCAATTAACGATTTGTATGGCCAAATTACAGTGTCGAAAATATTGTATATGCTATTTACAAAAAAATAACGTAAAACTGATAAGAAATACTGATAACAAGTTTTTTTTATAGATTGCTAACTATAGTGATACAAGGCCACCCAGTAAGAATTGGACGACACTCGTTTCCTCTTGAAAGCATTCCAATTTTATAGTTTTTCTTTTTGGAGACGTTTACGCCAATGTCACTTTTCAGACATCGACCAGACAACATTTTTTAGCAAATTATTCTCAGCTCAAAAAGTTAATTATTTACGACATATAGTTCTAAAAATTCTAAAAAAAAACATAAATATTTAGTAAGGGTTTTGTTATATTGTAAAAGAACATAAACAAAAATTGTTTCAAGAAGAAAAAATACAAAATTGCAATGTTTTTAAATACGAATGAGTGTCTTATCTTTAATGGATCACCCTGTATAAGCGTACGTGACTCTAGAAGACAATAATTAAGCCATTTATAAGCAAAGTGGTGTATATCGATTTTTTTGAAATTTTTTATTTATGATGTAAATAAATATCCAAACAATTGTCTGTCGAATGCACAAATGTTGTGAGTCATAGCTATATTATTCAAAATGTGAGCTGTAATTTCAAATTTAAGATGTTCGACGGGTTTTAATTTGTATTTATAATAATAGTGGCTTAAGTCTAGTTGCTGCACCATTTTAAATTTATTGATACAACTGGTTCTCTTAATGTTCTACTTTTTTAATACATACAAAAGACTGTCCTGATTTTATTTTTTAACATAAATAATAAGGTGATTAATAATATTTTTTTTAAACATACTTAATAATATGAGTTATATTTTATGTGATATGATAATTTTAATAAATGTTCCGTACGAGTAAAGATAAATTTAATTAACTACCTACATTATAAAACATATAAGTTTATAATTCAATACAGACATAATGGCCAAAATAAACATAATATTAACATTCATAAACATATTGAAAATGTTAATAAGCAGAGCGGTGTATGTAGTAATTTATTCTTACTTTTATCTAAATTGTTGTAACTTTTGCAAGCATGCATTTTCCCACAGCACACTGATAATGAAATACAACACTTT